ATGATACCGAATAATACAAAGGAAATAGTCATGTTTAACACAACCTTTTGACACGAGGACCAAGCTGCCAAGCTATGTGCATTGCGTTTGGTTTGTATCGATCAAGAAATAGCGCCCTATTCAAGATTACGTCAGTTCAAGTGTCTGTATCGTTTAGAATAACTGAACGTTAATATGCCAAGTGTGGAAGGGAATAGGGTGTGAAATAAAGGTTTGTATATTATTGTTTCAGCAGGTTAAAAAGCTCAAAAGGTTCCTAGGCTTTATCTTACGTTTATATGAACCCATCAAAAAAATCCAAACTCGGGTTTATGCTGCACCCTTCGTGTCTTGGCAGTCTTAGACTCGCTCACACACGAGTGGAAGCGTTATAGATTAAACGGATTGAGGTTTCCCCCGGAGTAATCTCTTCTTATTTTGTGCCCCTTTGTAGTTTTCAAGGGTGACAAATCACTGAGTTGTGTGGTCTGAAGGCAATTTTATTCCATCCGACTCTTTTGTCCAACGATAAATAATAATAACCTTTGCTTTAACATCAAAATGTCTTGAAGCGCTTCACACGTAATCGTTGTCAACTGTAGCCACTGTAGGCAAATGTGACAGCCAATTTCTCACACAGCAACGTCCCACAAACAGCCTTGAAGCAAAATGGTAGCTTAATACAGGTTTGTCTCCAACCCACTTCAACTCCTAACTCCTCGTTCGGGGTGGAAGATGTTTTCGATAATAGAAATACTCTCCAGAATTAGGTAAGCAGGGTGTGTCCCTCCAGGGAGAGAGAAAGAGGATGCACATTGCATCCTAATTCATTGGATTTTCCACATGTAGGTGAGACGCATGGAACTCTTAGTTTTATTTGGATACTCAGTGGTCGGTTTCTGCATTCAACAGACATCCTGCCTGACCCTCAAAAAAGTCTTTATAAGGTTTGTACAGAGAGTTTGGCCGTAGCCTGGAGATATTTAATTACCTGCCTGACACGTAGATTTATTTTTGATTCATAACTGCAACCTGAAAGAGATTAGGATCAACCATTTATACTGCCCCTGAGTGAATCTCTGGCTTGCCTGCTCCAGCTGTAGCTGATGAGACGACTTGCACATTAGAATCTCGGTTGCTGGGTGTTTGAAGCGCTTATGGGCATAATTCGGATCTGCTTCGCAAGTAAATCACCCTCAACCTTCTGTGTGAATTCACACTGCCAATCCACAGAGGGGCTGGCAAGGAGCTTGTCTGAGACACGCTTTGAGACGTTCTCCCGGTGTGGAAGGCGTTGTGTCAAATGTAAGGATTTGGGATTGCTAACTATTGCACGGCCCACTGTGCAATAAATGTGTCCCTCTCTCTGGACTAGGCAATTACAATAGTAATTATTATTACAATAATAATTACAATTACAATACAATACAATTACAATCACTCTTTTCTTTCCAATGGTTTGTCACAAACTTTCATCTTTATCTACCCAAGAAGACTGCGGTCTATAATACAAATAATAATAATCCTTGCATTTGATATAGTGCCTTATCACGTCTTCGAGACGGCTCAAAGCGCTTCACAGAACATACTGTAAAGCGAATTGACTGGGCACTTTGTGGGTGGAATAATAATATCCCTGCATTTATACAGAGCCTTTCAGGTTGTTTCAAAGCGCTCCAAACGCTGTAGACAAACTCGACAGTCAATTTGCATACAGCAACATCCCCACAATATAATCAATTTATCTAACCTCTCTCATCATTGTTTAAAATGATATGTGAGGCTCTGTGTTGACTGCAAAGAGATAAAAGAACGTGCAATGAAAAAGAAACATCTCTCCACAGCTCCGTTTATTTAATGCTTTTTTTTATGCAAAATATTTTTAATGAAACAAGGATTTGTAACGCATGCTGTCTACACGTGAATATATCCACCGGTTTCTCGGGTTGCTTTTCATCCTAAAACAATTACATTCAGCTGCCTCAATAATTAATGTAAACAAAATACATTTCTGAAATCATTTGAATGAATTGTATTTAATCAATTGCGTACATACTAATAACAGAGGAATAATTTTCTAGTATTCCTTTTTTGCTTCTTTTACAAATGAACGATCAATTTTTATCAGTGGAACTTGCATTTTTATTGCGTCTTATGACACCGAAACATCTCAGAACCCTTTACAAATAATTGCTGCCAAGTGTAATGACTGTGTGTTTCGTAAGCAAATGTGGCCGCTAATTTGCACCAGTCCCGAAAACAGCCATGAAGGGAGCGAGCGATTTTATCTGGGGGATTGTCGGCCAGGACATGGAGAAAGAAACAGACAAAGAGAGAAACTCCCTTCTCTTTTGGAATAGCTTCGCAGGAGATCTTTAACATCCACCTGAACAGGGCCAACTCAGGACCTTGGTTTAATCTCTCACTCGAAGGACAGCCGAATGAAAAGTTTAGCATGTACCAGAAAAAATGTTTTTAGGCAGTAAATTTACTTACCATTTACATTCAGTTTCATTCCTGTCAGTAATAATTATAGCTAGAGTTACAGCCTAATAAATCTAATAGCTGATCATTGCGGAACTCTGACCAGCTATTTTTCTATCATAAATCCAGAACGTTAATCACTAGCAGCATTGAGCCCAGTGTGAACTAGTATTTAATAGCAGCATGAATTCCCCCCTGACAAAAGAAAAGTATTTATCATCTCAGAAATGGGTCTTCAATCAGCGGTCATAACGGAAACAGCTGCACAGGAATATCCAGGACACTCTCGCCTTCAAGTCAGAAGGTTGGGGGGTTCAAGCCCCATGTGGGGATGTTGAATTCACAGTCTAAGCTGTGTGTGTGTGGGTGCGTGTCTGTGTGTCTATCTGTCTTGTGTATGTCTCTTTCTATCTAGAGCGTTGTGTGTGTGTCTCTCTCTGTCTAGCTTGCATGTGTCTCTGTGTCTAGTGTGTTTGTGTGTCTCTCTAGTGTGGTGTGTGTGTGTCTCTCTCTTGTGTTGAGTGTGTGTGTGTGTGTCTCCCTGGTGTAGTGGAATCCTGTCACTCAGTGGTTAGAGCACTCGCTTTGCAAGCGAGAAACCTGGGTTTGATTCCCAGCAGGGTGAAACCTTGGGCAAGTTTCCTTACTCCACACGCCTGATAATAATCCCTCAAGAAAAAAAAACAATAATAATAAATTGGTAAATTCAATCCACGACTGTTTGTGGGACACTGCTGTGCGCAATTGGCTGCCTCATTTCGCCCACAAATATACAGTCAATTCACTTTACAGTCTATTCTGTGAAGCGCTTTGAGACGTCTAGAAGATGTGAAAAGCGCTATATTAAATGCAAGGATTATTATTAGTAGTAGTAGTATGTGTGTATGTGCCTCTTTGTCCAGTGTGCGTATGCGTCTCTCTCTGTCCCAGAGTGTTGTGTCTCTCTTTGTGTAGTGTGTGTGTGTTTGTGTATGTCGCTCTCTGTCTTCTCTCTTATGTGTGAGTGTGTGTGTATCTATGGTGAGAGGTTCAGTAAGTGAGTGGAAATTACCATTATAAAAATTAAGCTGAGTCATCACTTTACCTCCAGCTCTAGTGGCAAAAAAACACCAGCTCAAAGTTTGCTGTCTGATCTACGTACATATTAAAAAGAGGATCACAATGACGTTACGACTGCGGATGCTTTTGAAGCTTATCCTTGCGTTAAAAATTGCTTTGTTGAATTTTATTTCAAAAATATTAATACATGCGATTGTATTAATGAGGCTCGGAGTTTAACCTCGCTGATTCGGCTTTGGACAAAACAAGGCGGAAACCAGGGAATGAGTTTCAAATAGACTGACACTCCAGTGCATTGCTGGGGGAAGCACTGCATCGTTGGAGTTGCTGTCCTTCGAGTGAGACATGAAATCTTTAACGTGCCCTGTTCAGGTGGATGTTAAAGATCCTCTGAGTTTTTCTCTTTTTCCGGTGTGCTGGTCAACAATCCCCCTGAAAAATCAATTATTCCCTTTATTGCTGTTTGTGGGACATCGCTGTGTGCAAATTGGTTGCTGCGTTCATTTACAAACTGCATAGTCACCACACTCAGCGCCTTGACGTATCCTTCCGACGTGAAAGGCGCTATACAAATGTAATTTGTTGTTGTTTTGTACAGCGCTTTGAAATGTTCCACCAATATAAGTCACTGTATCAAATGCAAGGATTATTATTATCATTATTATTATTAATATCTGCTTAAATTAAATGCAATCCCCAAAACATTGTGTAACCCTGATTGTTTAATGAAAGGCAATTCATTTTTTCTTGGGCTAACCTTTCCCACCCTGATGTAAACTGCTCTCATTACACACAGGTCCACGCACAGGTTACAGTTCTCGTCTGCTTTTGTGTTAACAAGAATATTTTTCGAAACAACAAAAAAAAGAGGTTTCAATTAAATTTTCAATTAGCGATACTACTGTAATGCTTTCTTGCAACATAAACATTCCAGTCACACACACACACACAGGCACACATGCATGCGGCAAAAAGAAAAAGCATATGAAACGTTATGTTCTGTGAAATAGCCTTCATTTATTTTCCATCCGACTGCATGTCAAATACACCCCCACCAGGAGTTTCAATGGCAGGGCCAGTGATGTATGCCTCCTATCAGCCACAGAACATTTATTTTTCATTAACAGTTAAACGCACACATACATGAAACATACTCGGAAGCGTTCAATTGCTGCCTTTTGCCGGCTGATGTTTTATATTGCTGAATTAATCCGATCAGTGTGTCACAGATTTGTAGCAAGATGTTTTTACAATGGTCACCTACACGAGAATACAATAATGATAATAATAATCCTTCCATTTGAAATAGCGCCTTATCACGTTGTTGAGATGACTCAAAGCGCTTCACAGGATATCCTGTAAACAGGATTGACTTTGTATTTTGTGGACGAAACATAGCAACCAGACTGAGAGAGAGAGAGAAAGAGTGCCAAGCAATTCAGTGCCTAACTCGGAAAACCTTGTCTTCTTTCCTGCAGATGGTGAATATGGTGAGACGCAGTCTGGAATCGTGCCGGTGGCTTCCGCAGAATCCTTGCCTCACTTTTTGGTTGAGCCGGAGGACGTGTACATTGTAAAAAACAAGCCTGTGACCTTGGTGTGCAAAGCCATCCCGGCCACACAGATCTACTTCAAGTGCAATGGGGAATGGGTTCACCAAATGAACCATGTCACGAAAGAGACTGTAGATAAAGCCACAGGTAGGCTTGGATTCCAATGTAGGGCCGAGAGGTTTACAAGGGTTTTTCATTTCACTACAACACTTAATAATAATAATAATAATAATCCTTGCATTTGATTTAGCGCTTTATCACACTGTCGAGATGTCTCAAAGCGCTTACACTGTAAAGTGAATTGACTGTGTATTTTGTGGATGCAGTGTGTGAGTCAATACTTAATGCACTAGATGACAACAATAACACCTTGCATTTACAGGAGGATGATGTCTCGGAGCGCTTTACAAAGACTCAGTCTCTCTCTGTAAGTGGCTCTGGTCAGTGTGCAAATTGGCTGCCGCGTTTACCTACAAAATACACAATCACTCCACTTTACAGTGAATCTAGTGAAGCTCTTTGAGACGTCCTCCCCACATGAAATGTGCTGTTTCAAATGTAAGGATTATTATTGTGTTCTGTTCCAAGTTTCAAGCAGTTCAGGTTAAGGTTCGGGAACACAGGAACATGTAAGACTCATTTTTTATTGCATATTAATATTTGACATGAATGTTGCATTGTGGTGAGCTAAATTAAGATTGCTGTGAGGAACATGGAGTTGTTTAAACATCTTGTTCACACATGGCTGAAGGTCTTATTGTGTCACTGGCAGTGTTGTGTACGGTTCATCTGGTTATTATGAAATTATTACAGGACTAATTCATCAAGAATTGACTCATTACATGAAACGCACAAACTTCTGAAGATAATTGATGTTCACCGACTTCTCACTGAATCTGATTGATTGCATTTGTGCTCGCACACATCCACACGCCATCAGTGTTGTTTACAATGAGCACAACCAAACTGCTCTAGTTCAGAATTAAACAGAACGTTACGGCACAGAAACAGGCTGTTTGGCCAAACTAGTCCTTGACGATGTTTATACACCACACAGGCCTTCACCTCTTCTATTCCCCTCTGCCCTACCATATCAGAGAATTGTCTTTGGGACAGTACATAAACTAGCCCTAGCCTGAAACTGTGCGTAATCTGATTGTGTAATGGATGGACGGTAGGTAGGGCGTGGGTGGGTGTTCTACAAAGGTGAGATCAGATGGGCCGAAGGGTCTTCATCAACCGAACCAATCTTGTGATCTTGGGAGCCTGGGTCCTTGAGACCTTGAAAGATCTTGAGATCTTCAGATCTCAAGATCTTGATTCATTGCAGCAGATTTGATAACTTGTCGCCCGTCACTCGCTCCCTGCAGGGCTCATGGTGCTGGAGGTGAGAACCGATATCTCCCGACAACAGGTGGAGAAGATGTTTGGATTGGAGGAATATTGGTGCCAGTGTGTGGCCTGGAGCACGTCAGGGACCACAAAGAGCCAGAAGGCTTTCATCCGGATCGCGTGTGAGTCCTCAAACCTAATAACACTTTATAATAATAATAATAATAATTATATTTCACTTTAGACCCATGGGGTTTCGTGATAAAACAATGGATGCCTTAAAAATCCAATCAATGTTCTGCCTCGTGCTTTCCAGATCTTCGGAAGAACTTTGAACTGGAGCCCATTGGGAAAGAGGTGGCGTTAGATCAAGAGGTTTTACTGCACTGCCGTCCTCCGGAGGGCATTCCCTCAGCCGAGGTGAGGGAACAACAGCTTGCATTTATGTGGAGTCCTTCACGCGCTTGTTCATAGTAGCAACAGCTCAATTTCAGCTCCAGCAACTGGAGGCAGCAGGAACACAAGTTGTGTCAAAAGTTTCACCCGCAATTTAACAACCTGAGTCTAATCTGGCAGGCCCAGTTTCAGTGACAAATGCTTGCAGGTCTGTCTGAAGCCAGTCGCAAAGCAAAGCCCCCCCCAGTAGGGTCCTGACATGTCAAGCGACCGCCAGGCTGGTGGAAGGTGAACTGGAAACACCTTTGTCTTTTTTTCGCCTGGCAAATTCTTATGCTCTGGTAGCCTGCTGCTAACTTATATGTGAGGTGATCTGTGTGAGCTTGCTGAGTGAGCTGGTTTGTCAGGCTCAGTGCTGACTCGTGCTGAGTTACCAACCACTCTGGATCCAGATATAGATTTCACCGGTGACACATGGGTTTGAAGTGACCCCTGACACTGGTTGAGTGGAGCTCCTACCTCTGTGCTGTCTGCACCGACACGGAGTTCAGAGCTGGGGCCAATTCAGGGAGCGCACAGGACAGCACAGAACAGAATAACTCAAAACACTGGCGCCAATTAACGCACGATTGGGAATCTTGAGTGAGAAAGATCACAGAACTGTACACAGTCAACGCACTTCAGAGTAAATCCTGTGAAAGGCTTTGAGACGTGAAAGGCAGTGTAATGATTGTACAGACTATTATTATTATTATATTAGTGATTGACTCTCAAACATTGGTTATGTTTCCAGGTGGAATGGTTGAAGAACGAGGAGCTGATTGACCTGGTTGAAGACTCTAATGTCTACGTGACTGTGGACCATAACTTGATCATCAGAGAAGCTCAACTTTCGGACACCGCCAATTACACGTGTGTGGCCAAGAATATCGTAGCCCGGCGCAGGAGCACCACGGCAAATATTACCGTCTACGGTAACAAAGCCTGTCCATTTAGTGATCAGTCATCTTCTGCACCAGTGTCGTATGTGCTGGACAGGGGAAGAATATAAAAAATATGAGTTATTGATTACCATGTTTATCATCAAACACACATGCACACACACACACATACCGTCCACACACGTACACACACACACACACATACCATCCACACATGCGCACATACACAAAGACACACAGACATAGAGACACACACATAACACACACATAGACACACATAGATGCACATTCGCTCATACAAGCGCACACAGACACACACCATCCACACAAGGACACACATAGACACATACATACACGTGCACGCACGCACATATCAACCACACATACAGACATATAGACACACATAGACACATATACGCGCACACACCTACACACATAAGACACACATGTACACACACACACACACATGAACACAGGCAAATTTGTCACCGACTCTTATGCTAGTAATTGGTTGTAGACAAAGGATTTGGTGATGTTCTCTCTCTCTCTCTCTCTCTCTCTCTCAGTGAACGGAGCCTGGTCCCCATGGACAGGCTGGTCAGCCTGCAGCAGCCCCTGTGGCCGGGGCTGGCAGAAACGCACACGTACGTGTAGCCGCCCGAGCCCTCAGAACGGCGGCTCTGTCTGCGACGGGCAAAACACACAGACGACGATCTGCACCATCCTGTGCCCAGGTATCTCCCTCCCCGCACACAGCCCTGCTTCTATCTCGGTCACAAACAGAATCCTGTATCAATGTTATTGTCTTAAATTTTTTGTAACCTCTGAAGCGAGGGTTGACAGGCTAAGACTTCCACCTCAAACCCCGTCTTGCATGAAGCGTCAATTCCACTTGAAGAAATTAGTAAAGGAAACGATTAATATCGGAACCATTTAGCAAATCACAGCATCTAGACCCCTGAGAGGCTTCTGGAGCCCCAACGAGAGTGGCTTAAAGTGACCCAATGTGACACAGTGTTATGTAAGGCGATGTCAGAATTGCTTGAATTGGTTCAGTGGATTACATGGTCCATTTTTCATTTTTTTCTCCATCGCTCTTCACCTGTACCTAATTCCGCCCCCAAGCGCAGACATCTAGTTATTTCCAAACGCCTTCAGTTCACTCCTTCAGTGTGTGAGCGACCCTCTCCAACCGTCAGAGTTGGCTCAGTGCACCTCACTGATAAAGAGACATCAAAACATCCATCCCACCAAGAGTTAGCGATCTCTTCTCAAAGAAAATCTCTTTTATGCTCGTTCAACGCGACACCACTGAGGTGTAGCAATGTTAGGGTCTACTCAGAGTGAAGCACACACAGTGTTAACAGTATTCGAGCTTATCATAAAACCGTAGAAACTTGCAGCACAGAAGGAGGCCATTCGGCCCATCGTGCCTGTGTGGCTCTTTGAAAGAGCTACCGAATAGTCCCAATCCCCCGCTCTTACCCAATAGCCCTGCACATTTTTCCTGCTTAAGTACTTGTCCAATTCCCTTTTGAAAGCTATTATCGAGTCCGCTTCCACCGCCCTTTCAGGCAGCTTCTTCTAAACATTCGCTGTGTCTAGATGGTGTTCTCTTCAGCACCGAATAAGTCTTGAACCTTCACTAATGAGAAGCCTGCATGGCTCTCCCACTTCACAGAGTTTCCTTTCACGGGTATATTTAGTGTCCTTTGAGAGTTTAATGAAAATGAAACGGCGAACGTACGTTTTATCTCTCTCCCCTCTGAACCAAGACTGTGAATGACTTGATCTTTCTTTTCAAAAAAACAGAAAGATAGACATCTGAACGAGGAGTGCTGTCAAACAAATGCAGCGCGGTGTTGGTTGCAGGCGCACTGTTTCCTGCAATGCAATGTGATCACTCCTCTGACTAGAAATTGAAATGTGGAGCCTGGTGTCAGGAGCACAGCTCTCCTTGCCATTGTGTTCACTTGATGTACATCAGAGGAAAGCTTAGCTGGGCTCACACACACAACAACAACAACAACAACTTGCATTTATACAGCGCCCCTCACGCAGGGTAGCGTCCCAGAGCACTTGACAATGGTGGAGCACGATGCTGAGCCGGTGGGGTGGGGGGTGAGGAGAGGGGAGGGGGAAATAGGAAGGTCTTCAGGCGCGACCTGAAGATGGAGAAGGAAGGGGCAGGGCGGAGGTTTAGAGGAAGAGTGTTCCAGAGTTTTGGAGAGTAAGTGGCTGAACATACACAAACATAAACACATACACACCAAAAAAAACTGAGTGAAGTAACACTCGGATCCACTCAATACTGCTCAGAACTTGGTGCTTGTTAGCAGCAAAGATGAAATTGACCCCAAACGAGACAACAACGGTTCTCAATAAGAAGCAGAGTTTGCCACTGATATCACTGTCTGGCAAGCTTTCCTGCTGCTGGTCCATTAGGACCACCCTACCCGTTAGGGCTTTGACTTGCCAACAAAAAAAGCCTCTCCTGTCACTGAGCAACAACAACAACACAAGGAAAAGTCCACACTAGAGATAAAAGCATCTTCGATGGCCCTCTTTTGCCCTGAATTAATTGTTAAACTGCTATAACCAGTCGTGCACTTGGCATTTATTACCTGTAACAGCCAGGGCTGTCTCTGATACAATGTGAGAGAGAGAGAGAGAGAGAGAGAGCAGCACCTGAACAGTGAGAGAGATGTCCGGGAAACCTTTAGTTGGCTGTTGATGGAAATTGAAATCCTTTACGTTGCAAAATTAGCTATCACAAAGCCCTTGTCGCTGCCTATCAACACCCATTTGTGCAGTCGCTTGTAAAATCATAGAAAGCCAACAAGACATTTATTGGTCCGAGTGACTGAGCCGAGGAAACTCTGGAGATTTACTTCCCGTCAAATGAAAACCACTTACAACTCCTCTGATACAGCTTTCAGGTCAATGAGGACGGAAGCACAAACATCCAGCTGAGATATAGCAAACAGACAGTGGTGGGAGTTGTTTTTACCTGACAGTAATACCATGAGGTTAAAGTAACTCGAAACAATTTATTTTGGTGGTAGGGACGGAGGGAGGGAGAGGAGAAGAGAGAGAGAGTTGTGAGAAAGGTGTACGTTACATTGGTTTATTCTCTTTTATTCCTGTAACCCTGTGTCTCTCTTCTCCCTCTCTCCATTGCTCTACCCCCAATATAAATCATTTTGAGTCACTTAAACCTCATGGTATTACTGTCAGAAAAGCTGGGCAGGTGTCACTTTTCTACCTAAAAAATCGAGAGTGTCATCCCGGCTGGGTTTGCTAGCAGTCGTGTCTCTGAGTTAGAAGGTTGTGGTGTGAGTTGGGTTCAATCCCTCTCTCCCTCCCCCCACACCCCCCCCCAGTGTGTGACATCTGTGTCTTCGCTTTCAGTGGACGGGGGCTGGGCTGAGTGGAGCGGCTGGACTGCCTGTGGGCCGGAATGTGCACAGAGGAGAAGCAGAGAGTGTGGAGAGCCTGCCCCGAGGAATGGAGGCAAGGAATGTGTCGGCCTCAGCTCAGAGCTCCAGAATTGCACGAGCAGCCTATGCCCACATAGTATGTATATCTTCATTCGAGCCTTCAGCCTCTCTGACCCCCACCCTTTGGAAAACTCCATCCCACAGTCCCTTCGCCTCGCTCCCTCCCTCGTTTCCTTCAAGGCCAGTCTTTAGCACACCATGTCCTCCCACGTCGCGTCAAGGCAGATATGCGATTTACTTACACCCTCCATCGCAACTATTTCTTCCTTTCGCAAGAGGTGTCAGCTTGGCCCAGTCGGTAGTGCTCTCCAGGACAAAAGGTTGTGGGTTCAAGCCCCACCATGTTGGGGACTTGGAGCTCACAGTCTAGGCTAACACTCCAGCTCAGTGCTGGGGGTTACGCAGCTTTGTTAGAGGCGCCATCCTTCGAATGAGATATTAAACTGAGGTCTCGTCTGCCTAGTTGTTCAGGCGGACGTTAATGATTCCACGAGGCTATTCGAAAAGGGAAGAGAGTTTCTCTCTCCCATTGACCTGGTCAATAATCCCCCAGATGAAATTGGTCACTCACTTCATGGCTGTTCGTGGGACATCGGCTTTTGTTTTCACCTATAAACACAGTCACTGCATTTGACAATCAATCCTGTGAAGCACTTAGTGATGTTTTGACCTGGTGATAAGGCGCTGTATCAAGCGCAAGGATCAGTATCAGGAGATGTGTGGTCAAGAGGAGAAGGTTGAGGGGATTTATTGAAAGAATAGCATGCAGTTGAGACAAACTGAATATGGACATATATATTTTTGAAAAAAAAATATCAGAGTAGCATCGAACCTGGAAAATAGTAAACGGAGCTGGAATTAATGAGAGAAATAAATAACCTGGAGGTCACAGTGTTTAGTAAGGAGATGGAGATTAGTTATAAAGAAAGCGAATCAAGGGTATTTTGTACTAAAGGCACTAATTTCAAGGCGAGTTGGCTTATAAAAGGAATATCACGCCTAACAACTTTATTAGCCTTCTGTCAGGGGATTACAGGCTTGGCAAGCGATGGTTATCTGGTGGCTGTTATTGCTTTGACTTTCAGAAGCCAACAAGCCTCAGGAGTGATTTGTGGCTGAGATGGAATAATAAATTGCCTAAGTAATAGAAAGCAAATGGCATAAAGTGATAAATGGGGAATCTTTCTCAGTGACGACATGGCCCTCACAGGGAGCTCAGCGTTTGCAAATTATTCGGAGGAGTTTTCAACAAATCACACTACGAGACCGCCGATGTGGAGTCCTGTAACATAGTGGTTAGCTCGCTCGCCTCGCAAGCGAGAGGACCTGGGTTCGATTCCCGGATGGGGCGAAACCTTAGGCAATTCGCTTTGCTTCAATTCACTTTACCAAATATTCTGTGAAGCGCTTTGAGACGTCTCAATGATGTGATAAGGCGCAAAATCAAATGAAGGGAATATTATAACACATAGCCCCTGGGCAGAAGACTCTAATATTATTTAACATTGAGAAATGTAAGGTAATGTGCTTTAGCGCTCTAATAACGATAACAATAATAATAATCCTTTTTTTTCACGTCCAGAGGATGTCTCAAAACGCCTCACAGAATACAAAGCAAAGTGTAGTGACTGTGTATTCGTAGGCAGATATGATACCTTTTGTGTTTACACAGGGAAGGGTGTGATAAAATAACTGAACTGAAGGACTGGTTTGGATATAGGAGCCAAGCTCGGCTCTGAATGCATTCTACTTCAAAAGGCAAGCGAATTGTTTGATGTATCTGATGAAGCACATCCGAGGGAGTGATGGGAACGATCTACAAAGCATTGCTGAGGCTACATGCAGAGAGCTGTGTGTAATGCAGGTCACTGTGCATTTGAAAAAGGCAGCTCAGCAGTGGGACAGAGTAGAGAGTGGAAAGGGCAGTAAGCGTGGTTCAGGATTACTGCTCAGAGAGCCGGTGAGATGTGCCGGCCACCGGACATGTGTTCTCAGTGGAATAAATTCGTGAAGGAAGAAAAGAAACAATGGACGGAATCGTGAGCTGCTTTGTGTAAAATGAAAGCAAGAAACCCACGGATCACACGGTTTATACAGACAGCGCGGTTTACTTCGGGAAGACGTCTCAAAACGCTTCACTTTGCTCGCTGGGCGTCTGAGTCAGCCAAGGATGAGGGAGAATAGGAGGGGAGTTGACGAGATGGGATCTGGAAGTAGGACAGGCGTAGCTCCAGACAGGGGCAGAAGGGCTGAAATCTGCCCGACAATGCTGGGGCGGAGAGGTACCCTATCGATGGATTTAGAAATTGGGGTTGTTTCAAGTTCAGGCATTAGAGATAAAAGTGGGGGGAGAGGAGGAAAGGGAGAAGGGAATCGAGGGGTATGGGTGGAGGAAGGGGGAGGAAAGGGAGAGGCGGTTTAGGAGTGGTGGAGGCTCCCGTGGAGTCTAAAAACCACACGGACTAGCTTGGGTGAAGGGTCTAGATTGTATGGGTGGGTGCTGTATATTCTGTGTAATTGTTAGTCAATTGGCGGATCGCTTTCGGGGGGTAATAATGCCTTCGAAAAAAAAATGTTGCCACTCAATCCATGACTGACTGTGGGACATAAAATATACAGTCGATTCACTTTATAGTATATTCCGTGAAGCGTTTTGAGACGTCTCGACGATGTGATAAGGCGCTGTATCAAATGCAAATTTGTTATTATTATTGTTGCATATATTAGCCACCAGTGAACCTGAGCAATCATTCCTTTATGTTGAGTCGTGACTTAGGGAAGAGACTGCCACCTAGTGAGGTAACTGTTGCCCTGATTGACACAACTGGTTAATGCCTTCAGAGTGTTTTAGGAGGAAAAAGATCGAAAGATTGACCGAAAGTGGGGTAAATTCGAAACAAATCTGCAGAAACACTATTTCAGTGAGTGATTAATAAATGTATGGAACGGGCTCCCCAGGGAGACAGACGGTAGAAGCAGAAAGTGTTGATTCTTTCAAGAGCAAATTAGATAGATTTCTCTTAGGAAATAATATCTTGGGATACAGTGTATAGTTTGGGACATGACATGTGCAAGTGATTGACAGGATGGTGGAAGATGAACTTAATGGGACCTTGGTCTTCTTTCATCTAGCAATTCTTACCTTTCTTACGATATGGTGCCTTTCATGTCGGTAGGATGTCCCAAAGCGCTTCACAGGATACGCTGTGACGTGTAGTGACTGTGTAATTCATAGGCAAACGTGATCAATAATCTCACAGTTCCTTAGCCAGCTGCCAGTTTTAAATTAAATTATTATTTTCGGTAATGGAATCAAGCCAGGACGAGATGATTAATTAAAGCTAAAATTCCTGACTCGCAACGCTCAGCTCACAGAGAGCGCCAGGGACGCTTGTCTGAAGATGGAAACGTACAGAATTTTGTCCCGAAAGCAGTTTCTGCGCAGAGCAATATTCATGTGAAAGTGGCGGAGTTGTGTGTTTGCTCTGGAGTCCTTATTAAAAGAGGGTTCAAAAAGCCCTGCTAATAAGGCAATTAGACAAAAATATTCAATTTACACCTGGCAGTTTGAAAGAAAAACACCAGATGAAAGTATTTGATGAGCAAGTCTAAATTGTATTGACAAATGACACATTTCATTAACATGCGCACTCACACACTTGTTAGAACAATTGGCAAGTGTTCAGCGTGGGTGAATATCTCAGCTGGTGGAAATGAAATCAGTTTAATTACATCTGGAGGGAGAGTGATGGTGGTCCGAGCTCCTGGTGATTGACTAGTGCAGATGAAAGTCAAGTACCTCTGGGCTGAAAATTCTACAGTTTATTAAAGGGATAACGGATGCATATTCAGCACGTTGGCAAAGGAAATGTGTAAACCATGTTTGTGCACAGCCCTGAGGCATAGGGGGTCAGCCTGGCTCCGTTTGGTAACACACATTATCTCCGAGACAGGGGTTCGAGCCCCCACATCTGGGATTTTTGGCTCACGCGGTCTAGGCTGAAGCCCCAGTGCAGTGCTGGGAGGTGAGGTGAGGTGGGGGGATGCAGGTTAGGCTGGAGGCACTGTCCTTCGGATGGGATGCTCAGTCGCTACATCAAATCCAAGTATCGTTATTATTATAAAAGGACCACCCAGAGAGAAAGCGAGAGAGAGATAGAGAGAGAGAGAAAGAAATGAGCTCCCTAATTGATAAAGGGTGGAGCTGTGAGAAATGATTGGATAAGATGGGGCTCTTTTAACACTCCCTCAAAAAGATATTGTAGCGGAGATATTTTCAGAGATGGATAAAATGATTGAAGGGAATAACCTTTGCCACACCCCGTTTCTCCCTCCCTCCCTCCCTCCTTCCCTCCCTCCCTCACAGTAAAACCCGTTCCTACTGTAAAGTGTAGTGACTGTGCATTCTGCAGGCCACTTTGCGCACGGCGACATCCCACAAACAGCTGTGAAGGGAGTGACCCAGTTTTATCTGGTAGGTGGTGTGTAGTCGTCACCATTTTAAGTATTGCAAACACACACAGCAACTTGCATTTACGTAGCATCCTTCACGTCGGGTAGCATCTCGGAGCTCTTTACAGTCACTGCGCTTTACGGTAAGATCCCGTGAAGCACTCTGAGACGTTAGCGGTAACGTGATAAGGCGCTGTGTCAAACGCAAAGATTATTAACTTTGTAATTGATTGTTACTCTGATTGAATATAATGCGGCGTTGGTTTTCAGCCTCGGTGGCGACTGATGACATCGCATTGTACTCTGGGGTCGCGACGGTCACTGTGTGTCTCACACTGTTGCTCGTCGTCGTTGTCCTCGTCTATCGGAGGAAACAGCAGGACTTTGACTCGGATGTCACTGATTCTTCAATATTAACAACAGGATTCCAACCGGTCAACGTCAAAACTCCTAAACAAGGTTAGTCATTTAGTACACACAGTGACAAAGAGCCTCCTATTCCCCTCTCTTACACCCCTCTATTCCCCTCTCCTCCATCCTTCTACTCCCCTCTCCTCCACCCTTCTATTACCCTCTCCTCCACCCCTCTATTCCCCTCTCCTCCACCTCTCTATTCCCCTCAATCACACCCAACTACATAGATCGCAAAGCGCTTCACAGGATGTATTGTAAAGTGTAGTGACTGTGCATTTTGTGGGTGAAACGCGGCAGTCAATTGCATACAGCAGTGTCCCACAAACAGGCATGGATTGAGAATAGAGAAAAATGGAATGAGAAACTGCAGCAGTGGAAACAACAACAACATCTTGCACTTATATAGTGCCCCCCCCCCCCCCACCCAATCCCATGCAGGATAGCGTCTTAGAGCGCTTAACAGTGGCTGAGCCTGACTCTGAGCCAGTGGGGTGGCTGTTAGCATGGGTTGAACAGGAAAGTTTTCAGGCGGGACTTGAAAGCGGGGAGAGAGGGGGCAAGGTGGAGAGATTGAGGGAGAGTGTCGGGGCGCAGTGACTGAAAGCCCAATCTCCAATGGAGGAGCGGAGGGTCTGAGGGACGAACAGGAGGCCGGTGCCAATCGAGCGGAGGTGCCGGGTGGTGGATTTGGGAGTGAGGAGGTCGGAGAGGTAGGAAGTTGCCAGGGAGTGAAGCAATTTGAACTAAAAACAAACTAAAATAAACGATTGCGCCTCTCAGTTTGTCCCAGTGGGTGGTGTTGAGAGCGGGGAATGAATTGCCAGGGGCCTGTGGTTGGAGCAGAGACGATTGGGAATATTTAAAAGGGGATTAGTCTGCACATTCTCCACGGAGAAAGAGCAGGGAATTGAGAATAGGATAGACTGGCTCATTGGTCGAGTGCACACCAACACTCATGTGATGGGCTCAATGGGTCCCTGCCGTGTGCTAGTTTTCTATGTTTCTCAGGTGCGTTAAACAGTGTAGTAAATAACGCTACTCATTCCTTACCACTTAGTCACTTCTCTCGATCTCGCCACTGGTGCGAAGGATCTTGAGGCAGCGAGCGAACGAGCAAACCCACCTGGGTTGAGATTGATTATTTATTCGGAGCATTTTGGAGCTATTTGAAACTATTTCCCAGGATTTGGGAAATAGTTGCATTCAGTCTTAACTGAATGTGGAGTCCTGTAGCGTAGTGGTTAGTGCACTTGCCTCATAAGCGAGAGGACCTGGGTTTGATTCCTGTGCAGGGCGAAACCTTAGTTTCCTTACTCCACACGCCTCCGTTTACCTAGCAGTAATAAGGAACCCGCTTGTTAATCGATTGGCAGATCGTTTTACCGAGGGTATTAATCCCTTCCCAAAAAAATTTTCTTAAAAATAATAATTTGGTCACTCGCTCAATCCACGACTGTCTCTGTGGGACATTGCTGTGTGCAATTGACTGCCGCGTTTAGCCCATGAAGTACACAGTCAATCAACTTATATCCAGTGAAGCGCTTTGAGATGTCTCAACGACGTGATAAGGTGTTATATCAAATGCAAGATTCTTATTATTATGTACTTCACTGCTGCTGCGATCGTCTACTATATACACAATACAATCGCTACACTTTACAGTAATTCCCGTGAAGCGTTTTGTGACGTCCTGCTGACGTGAAAGGCGTTGCATCAAATGTAAGGATTATTAATTATGATCAATAAATATTATAATTGATCCTTTCACGAGTCTTGCTCACGCCCGTGGTAACTTGCACACACAGCGAACGTGTCATATCCGTGTGGAAAGCACTAGGATTAAGCAATGCTTGGAAGTACAGAGTTTTGTTGACGGTGGCTTGTCTGTTTTGTTCTGATAGATAATTCCCATTTGCTTACAATCCAGCCTGACCTCACAGCCGCCTCCATGTACCACTCGCGGCAGGAAATCTCTGACAAGATCCCGGTGAATAATTCCGCTCTGCTGGGGCCCCTCGTCAACCACCAGCACTCTCTGCGCAACGGCACGTCTCGCTCAGCCACAGCGGACATCATGAGCAGACTCTCCATGCAGATGAACACCAAGTCTCTGATGAGGGACACTTCCAATACCTCCTTTGGCACCTTTAACTTCCTAGGTGGCCGTCTCACCATTCCCAACACGGGTGAGTTACACGACACGCTTTAAACCGGCGGCGATTTACACCCACTTGTTAACGTTAATTGGTTGGCGAGCAGCGGGTGGGGGTGGGTGGGGGGATGGACAGGGGGACGGACAGTTGCAATATCCCTCCTCTCGTCTCAGGAGGACGTCACCAGGAACTTCTCATGCATTCCGATGCCGTTTGCCCAGCCAGATTTGACTGTAACACCTTATCACATCGTTGAGAGGTCTCTAAGCGCTTCGCAGAATATGTTGTAAAGTGGAGTGACTGTGGCAACCAGTTGCGCACAGCACTGTCCCACTGGGGAGGAGATATTACATGGGAGGGTGGGATCGGGGGGTGTGGTGGGGAGAGAGAAGTTCCACCCCTTTTCTAGATTAACTCCATTTTCCAATCATTTTAATGTGTCCAGAATTTGGCAAGTTCTCAAATATAGCCGTAATTTTGAAGCCCTTTTTTTTTTTACGAGCTACCGTAAGCAGTCTTGAAAGTCAAGCCTGAAATCGAGAAATTTGCCAAATTGGAGAGGACAAGTGTGCAGGGCTATGGGGAGAGCGCGGGTGAGTGGGATTGATTTGGATAGCTCTTCTAAAAGAGCTGGCACAGACACGATGGGCCGAATGGCCTCCTTCTGTGCTTTATAATTCTATGATTCTGTTTAGAGGCAAGAGACTAACGCTGTATTTTTCCTGCTGGATTGTTTTTTTAGGGGTAAGTTTACTCGTCCCCCCAGAAGCCATCCCTCGGGGAAAGATGTACGAGCTATATCTTACCGTGCATCAGAAAGAGAACGTGAGGTACATAGTTACTGTAGCCTGAAACCGTACATCGCTCTTACCAATTCCGGGTGTTTATCGACTCGATGCGCACATATTTTGGGAAATGTCTTTATCAAATACCGGTTGTGTTTCCTTCACTTTATTTACTGCTCTTACAGCTTTTTGCTCAGAATATTGCCTGTAGTTTGTCAGGATTCCCTGGGAATGTTTCGTGTTTTTCCTCATTCACCAGCACTGGCAGCTACTTGTGTGGACTCGGGAATTATTGCTGGTGGCAATCCTGCCGTTCTTTATTGATAGTCTATTATATAACATGGGAGTTCACACAGACCTAGGCTTGCTCATACACACACACATAGCCACCCTCTTTTACACATGCACACACAGCCACTGACATACATAAACACACAAAATACACAGCCACCCTCTGACATACACACCTACACATATACACGCATATCCTTTTGCACACATGCACACAGAGCAACCCATTTACACACGCACGCATGCACATACACAAGACACACACCACACACCCACAAGGCGTGCTATAAAAATAGCTACTACAGCATATAAAGAAAAGTGAAACAGAACAGAGGCGGGCGGGGCAGCAATATTAGTGTGAGGTTGAGTCAGGCGATGTGTGTGTGTGTGTGTATATGTGTGCGTGTGAGCGTGGTTGATATTGTGCTGATTACATTTTTACCATTTTGATGATTGAGGTTACCTCTAGCAGGATGTCAGACCCTGCTCAGCCCCATTGTCAGCTGTGGCCCCCCTGGTGTTTTGCTCACCGGCCCCGCTATTCTCAGCATGCAGCACTGCGCTGAGGCCAGCGCAGAAAACTGGGCCGTCACACTGAAGAAGCAGTCACCGCAAGGCAACTGGGAGGTAACGTTCATCATAACAACCCTTGCATTTGATATAGCGCCTTATCGCGGCGTCAAGACATAGATACATAGAAATAGGAGTAGGCTATTCAGCCCCTCGAGACATTTTATAAGATCACGGCTGATCTTTACCAGTTACCCACTCTTGCCCCATATCCCCCTATCCCTTAATAGCCTGAGCTAACAAATATTTATCGACCTCCATCTTGAAAATGTGAATGGATCTCTTTTGGGGAACAACAACAACAACAACAAGATTCCACTTATTGAGCGCCTTTCACGTCGGGAGGACGTCCCAAGGCGCTGTACAGTTGGGTCAGGACCCGAGCAGGGGGGAAATGGTCAGGGTGAGGGGAGGGAAGGGAGGGAGCGAGGAGGGGGTAGAGAGTCGAGAGGGGAGCTGAAGGCTGAAGGTCAAAGAGAAAGGTCTTGAGACCGGCCTTGAAGGAGGAAAGGGAGGAGGCGGCGAAGGCACTGGGGGATGGAGTTCCAGAGCCTCGGGGCTGAGAGGCTGAAGGCCCGGCCACCGATAGTAGGGCGGTTGGGGCGGGGGATGTGGAGCAGACCGGAGCCAGAGGAACGGAGGGTACGGGCAGGTAGGTAGGGGATAGTAGGTCGGAGAGGTAGGAGGGAGCGAGGCCGTGAATGGCCTTGTAGATGAGGATGAGGATCTTGAATTCGATCCTCTGGGGGATGGGGAGCCAGTGGAGGTGAGCGAGGGTGGGAGTGATGTGGTCGCGGTGTCTGGTGCGGGACAGTATAGCAAGCCTTGGATGCTGATGCTGTCAGCGCCTGAGGTGCGGAAGCGCTGACGTGAGCCAATCAGGAGGGCCTCAGTTTTGCGTACGTTGAGCTGAAGAAAGTTATCTCTCGTCCAGGACTCGATGTCGGACAGGGAGCTGTCAGGACATCGGGGGTCGTGGAGTTGAGGGTAGAGGAGGAAAGGTAGAGTTGGGTGTCATCCGCATACATGTGGAAGTTAACCCCATGTCTGCGGATGATGTCACCACAGGGGGAGCATATAGAGGGTGAAGAGGAGGGGACCGAGGACAGAGCCTTGAGGGACACCGCACGAGACAGTGCGGGGGCTGGAGGAAAAAACATTTGAGGAGACAAAGTGAAGACGGTGGGAGAGGTACGACCTAAACCACTCAAGGACAGGGCCTTGAAGGTTTAGGTGGGAGGACAAGCGGTGGAGGAGGATAGCATGGTCGACCGTATCGTCGAGGAGGACGAGGAGGCAGAGGGAGCCCTAGTCACAGATGGTCAGGATGTCATTGGTGACCTTGACCAGGGCAGTTTCTGTGCTATGGGCAGCACGGAAACCCGACTGAAGGGGTTCGAATAGTGAATGGTTGGAGAGGAAAGAGCGCAGCTGGGAGGCGACAACTCTTTCCAGGACCTTGGATAGGAAGGGGAGGTTGGAGATGGGCCGGTAGCTTGATAGCTGCGACGCATCAAGGGAGGGTTTTTTTAAGGTGGGAGTGATGGTGGCAGTTTTTAAGGGAATGGGAATAGAGCCAGAGGAGAGGGACAGGTTGACGATGTCTGTGATATGTGGGGCAAGGAGGTGGAGCTGGGAGATAAGGAGTGGAGTGGGGATGGGGTCAAGGGAGCAGGTGGTGGTTTCAGGGAGAGGATGAGTTTGGTGACAGAGGGTGGGGAAACGGGTACGAAGGTGTGTAGGGGAGGATGGGTAGGAGTCGGAGTGTGGGAGGGAAGGGGTGGGTGGTGGGTGGATGTTGGAGGGGAAGTGACCGCCGAGCGGATTCCCTTGATCTTGGATTCAAGGAAATCCAGCATCTCCTCGCAGTGAAGGTTGGAGGAGATGACCTGCGTGGGGTGGCGGGGGGGACGGAGGAGTCGGGATGTGGTAGAGAAGTGGAAGAGAGTTCCACGCTTTGAGAAACGTCTCAAAGCGTTTCACAGAATATACTGTAAAATGGATTGACTGTATATTTTGTGGGCGAAATGCGGCAGCCAATTGCATGCAGATGTGTGTCCCACAAACAGTCGTGGATGGAGTGAACCCCTTTTTTTTTGGAGGGGGGTGGGGGGGGGAAGAGATTATTATCCCTGAAAAGTGAACTAACTGCCAATCGATTAACAACTGGGTTCCTACTGACTGCTGGATTAACAGAGGCGTGTGGAGTAAGGAAACTTGCCTGAGATTCCGCTCAGGAATCGAACCCTTGCTTGCAAGACGAGTGCGCTAACCACTGTGCTACAGGACTCTATTGCACTCTATTGCTTATTTCTGTTACTAATCAGGCTGTTTTAACTTCCTTGCTGTTTCCTCTCGAGTAGGAGGTGTTACATCTCGGGAAGGAGACTCCAGCCAGCCCTTACTATTGCCAGCTGGACGGTCAGATGTCGCACATATTTACCGAAGCGCTAGGCAAGTACACACTGGTGGGGGAATCACTGAACGTGACCGCAGAGAAACGTCTGAGACTCGTCCTGTTTGCACCGGGAACCTGCACTTCACTAGAGTATAACGTTCGGGTCTACTGTCTGGAGGACACTCAGGATGCTTTGAAGGTATCCATCTGGGAGTGGGCGGGGAGAGGAGGGAGGGGGCGCGGAGGGAGGGGGAGGGGCGAGAAGGGAGGGGGAGAGGGAGGGGGGAGATGGTTTGAACACAGTCAGGGAATTTTTTTAAAATTGGTTTTGAAAGGAGGGAGAGACAGAGAGGAGGGCGTGTTCATGTGTGAAGATCATTGACTAAGTGTAGTCCTGTATCATGTCGGATAGAACACTTGCCTCGCTAGTGAGAGGAGAGGAACCGGGTTCGGGTTTGATTCCCAGGCAGGGCAAAATCTTAGGCAAGTTTCCTTACTCTGCACCCCTCTGTTTACCCAGCAGTAAGTGGGAACGCAGTTGTTAGTCGATTGGCGGAAAGCTTTCCGGGGGTAATAATCCCATCACTCAATCCACTGCTGTTTATGGGGCAATTGGCTGCCACGTTTTTGCCCACAAAATATACAGTCAATTCACTTTACAGTATATTCTGTGAAGCCCTTTGAGACATCTCAATGACGTGACGAGGCCCTACATCAGATGCAAGGATTACTATTGATTATTATTTACGTTAAGCCGTGTGAAGGGCGCTGTATAAATGCACGTTGTTGTTGTTGTGTAAGGTTACCAGCTCAGTGCTTTCCTGTGCAGGAAGTGATGCAGTTGGAGAAGCAGCTAGGGGGACAACTCATTGAAGAGCCAAAGATCTTGCACTTTAAAGACAGTTACCACAACCTGCGCCTTTCCCTCCACGACATACAACCAGCTCTCTGGACAAGTAAGCTGCTGGACAGCTATCAGGTAATGCACGCTGCTCACAGACTCCAAACCTGACGTCCTTTAGAGCATTTTACTGCAACGTTATAAAATTTAATAATAATAACACTACTAATAATAATACTACTAATAATAATACTAATAATAAGCTGAACTGGGGCAACAACAACAGAGCCCCTCATGCAGGGTAACGTCCCAGAGCGCTTAACAGTTGCCGAACAGGGGGAGGGGGCAGGCACAGTCGAAGAGGAAGGTCTTCAGGCACGACCTGAAGATGTGGAAGAAGGGGGCGAGGCAGAGGCATAGAGGGAAAGTGTCATTGTGGCTAAATGTGCGGCCACTGATGAGGGCACAAGGGACAACAGGAGGCCGGAGCCAGTCGAGCGGAGGCAACAGATAGTGGGTTGGGGACCGGGGTAGCAGGTCTGCAATAACTTGCTGCTTTGATGTGTAGGAAATTCCATTCTATCACATTTGGAGTGGTTTCCAGAGGAACCTGCACTGCACCTTCACCCTGGAACGCTCAAGTCTAGCCACCACCGAGCTGGTCTGTAAAATCTGGGTCTGGCAGGTGGAAGGAGAAGGGCAAAGCTTCCAAGTCCACTTTAACATCATAAAGGTAGGAAACGGTTATTATTATTAATAGTAATAATGTTAACAAGACACAGGCGGCCTCTGCTAATGTGAGCTGCAAATTAATCGATGGAATATTTTATGTTCATTGTAAACAACATAGCAAAACCCTGGATTTCATGGTAGGTGCGTATGTTGGTTTCTGTTTCCTGGTAAGTTATTATAGCTGCAGTTTTTCACTCAGCAACACAGACTCTGTGTTGACTCACAGACTGGGGGGGAGTAACTAACTGTTCACCATTAACAGTCGTTGGTTCACAGGAGGAATAAGTACCTGGATCGGGAAGAGCTGATTAGTTTGACGTCATGACTCTTCCCAGAACTCATGAATGTTCTCGCAGGGAAATGCAACAAGACGGGGAAAAAACACCCGATGTGAAGACGGTTGGTCAAACCCGTAGGAATTTCAGAAAGTCTCGGTTCAAATTTAGTGACGGTGGAAAAGTGACGGCGGGAATGTGTGGCTGAGCTACAGCAGAGGTGGGAGACAGGGGAGATGGACTGAATTTAGACCCTAATGAACCACCTTGCTAGATCCTCCACTCAGCGTGCTCTGAATCATCTCAAACAAACAGGAAGATCTGCGGCAACAACTTACATTTACACACGCCCTTCACACAGGGCAGAGTCTCCGTGCCTTTAACAGTGGCGGAGCCTCACGCTGAGTTGGAGGGCGGGGGGGAGAAGATAACCATAAGCACTGTAAGTAAGTGAGGTAGAAGCGGAAGGTCTTCAGGCATGATCTGAAAGAGGGGAAGGAGGGGGTGAGAGGGATGGCTTGAGGGAGAGAGTTCCAAAACTTTGGGGCGTACGCATTGGCTGAAAGTGCGGCCGTTGATGGTGGAGAGGAGGGGAATGAGCTTCCACCTGACTCATCCTTTAGTCTCCGCTAAAGAATAAGTAAGCCATGCGAGGCAGCTGCTGATGTCCTTGACCATTTCCCCCCCAAATGACCATCCTGGATGCTCTGCAAGAAGGGATTGTGCCTAGTGGCGTTGCCCGCTCAATGACAGTTCCAGTGGGCAGTCTGGGCACTGAGAGCCATGTGGTCAAAGCGTAGTGAGACCAGTGAAACCAGGCATTTGGAGCAGGTAGATTAGCAGATGGTTGGGCGGGTACATCAGTCTGCTCACTGCATTCACGTTAAACTAACAAGCCTTCGATGTGACCCTGAGTCATCCTCACTCACAGCTCCTTAGAGACAAAGACTCATTCGTGAAACAGGGACAGGAACTGACTTTGCCGGCAGCTGATTTGAGCTCTTTTCCCTTCCCTACCTCCACCCCCCCACGGGACCACCCTATGGAGCACCATTGCATTGTTTGATAGATATTCCCACCCCCCAGCCCCCCCGCCCCTGAAAGCTTAACACTATTAAATGGAAATGAGAATGTGTTTTGCACATTTTTTGACCATAGCGCTAGGCAAATTGACATTTACACAGTGCCTTTCACTTTGGGAGTTACTGGATAATAATGCTTAATAATAATAATAATCCTTGCATTTGATATCGCGCTGTATCTTGTCATTGAGTCATCTCAAAGCGCTCCACGGAACATATTGCAAAGTGGATTGACAGTACTGATTGTTAATGATTAATAATTAACAAACTTCGCATTTGACAGGGCGCCATTATGCTGTCGTCAAGACGTCTCAGGGAGCTCCATACATTTTGCTGTGAAGTGACTGTATTTGGTAGGCGAATGCAGAAGCCAGTTTGCCCCCGGCAAGCGTCTCACAACAGCTGTGCAGCGAGTGAGAGATACTACCTATGTGGGTGTGTGTGTGTGTGTGTGTGTGGAGAGAAACCCTGTACAATTGCCTCTCACCGCACCCCCTCCCCTCTCCCTCCCCCCTATTACTGCCAGCGTTGTGACACTGATTTTAAATCAAAGGCCTCCTTTCCCCTCCCAGACCGAAATGTAAGGCGACCGAGGTCTGGAGACTGCTGTTTCCATTGATTCCTTTGGACAGAAAAGCTTTTAATGCTGACCAACAAAGCAATAACCCAAGTAATCAGATAAAACTCTGAAAGTAACGATAAATGCCAGCCTTAATTACGCATATTGATATTTTTATTTCAGCCCAGTAATAATTTTTAATGTGTATCCCAAGTAAAAAAAATGTTTTACAATCGACTTATCACTATTAAATTAATATAGCCAGCCCTAAATCACTTCATTAAAAGTGTCTGTGAGTAAAATATGGAAATCTTTAATACTCCTGACCCCAATGAAGCACTGATACAGGCAATATGGGTACAGAAACGTCAAAGTTTTTTTAATTAGCAATGTTCTAATATCCTTGCTATTTTTCTTGTCTGTAATGTGCCCTTTAAAACTCAGCAGTGCAGTTAGATATATACATTTGTGACATTTTGCTTCAGCGCACATTATAATGTGTGGAGCACTCAATATAGAGAGACTCAGCAAATCGTCAGCATCATTTTATTTAATAGTATGAGTCAGAAGGTCATGGGTTCAGCTTCAATACATAGGTGGGTCCTTGGTTTAATGTCTCATCCAAAGCACATTGCAGGCACTCAACTGGAGCCTCAGCCTCAATAGACTGTGTGAGTTCAGAGGCTGTGATGTGGGGCTTGAATCCACTTTCTGAAGCGAGAGTGCTACTAACTGAGCCAGGCTGCCACGGTGGATGGGCAAATTCTCCCGCTATTTCTATACTCTATACAGTGTAGGTCACAGAATTCATTGCCCATGATTTTAACCAAATAATTTTAATTTGCAAAGTGAAATGTGGATGAAATTATGAAACTGGGCGAATGCAGGGATAAAGATAATAATCCTTGCATTTGATATAGCGCCTTATCACGTCGTCGCGACATCACAGGATGTACTGTAAAGTGGAGTGACTGTGCATGTAGTGTTCAATTTTGAGACTTATCTCAGAGTAGGAAGTAGGAACCCAGTTCCTACTGTGGGTTGATAAATTTGTCACTCAGGCCACGACTGTTTGTGGGACACTGCTGTGCGCAATTGGCTGCTGCGTTTCGCCCACAAAATATAGTCAGTTCCCTTTACAGTATATTCTGTGATGTCCTTTGAGACATCTCGAAGACGTGATAAGGCATTATATCGCAAACTCTTCCTAGGCATTGCAGTAATGTTCCTCCCCCGTTGGGGTGCGGGGGGTGGGGTAGGGAGATGTGTATTTTATTAGCTTCATAGCTTCCTCAAAAAAGAGAGGAGAGATTCTCTCTTTCTCCCGTGTCCTGGCTGACAATCCCCCCAAATAAAATTGGAAATTCACTTATTAGCTGTTTGTGGGTATGTCGTTGTGTGCAAATTGGCTGCCATATTCACCTACAAAATACACGCGGTTCCTACACTTTGCAGTACCCCTGTGAAGCGCTTTGAGACATCTTCCTGATGTGAGAGGCGCTGAACCAAATGTAATGTAAGGATTATTATTGTTATGATTAATCATATTTGGAGATGGTCATTACATATCAGCGAAGCGTGCGAGAAATCTCCAGGAGACTTATGATTATTATTATTAATTTATTATTGTTACTATTAAGGGCTTCTTCTTTAATCTCAAGCTTTGAGCGTTGAGGCTCAGTTGCATTGGCCCATATCCTGGAATGCACTTCAAAAAAATCTTTCCACCCCCTCCCAGAAGAACATTCCCTTAAAATTTAAATTTATTCTCAACTCACAACTCGATCCGGAATCTTGCATTTAAATCTCTTCCATCTGCGTGTGCAGCTTGACATTTGCAATGGTAAAATTAACTGCGTGCTGGTAAGACCAAATGTGTAGCTCCTTATGTATCTCCATCCCACCCAACCTATCTCCAGATATGACACCATTAATTCCAGTTTTCTTTACAATCAAAAATATTTCTTTTAGAATAAGGACAATTACAAAAAAAGGGGTAATAATCCCTCCAAAAAAAAATTAAAATTTGGTCACTCAATTCACAACTGTTTGTGGGACGCTGCTGTGCGCAATTGGCTGCCGCATTTCACCGACAGAATATACAGCGAATTCACTTTGCAATATATACTGTGAAGCGCTTTGAGACCTCTCGTTGACGTGATATGGCACTACATCAAATGCAAGGATTATTATTTATTATATTATTTCTTCCCCGCCACTAACACCTTTTCCCCAGAGTATGGTTTCCACGTGCCCTCTCCTTACCCTGCCCCAAAACCGCGAGGTAGAATTCAGTCCGTTTCTGTGTTCTGTGTTTTCACTTCAACCCTTTCACTTCTCCAACTAATTGGCCCTGACGCCAATAAATCGGTTAAAATTTCCACAGTGGCACTGTGTGCGCGGTGTGTTCACACGGAAAGCTTGCGCTTGATGAAAATCTTTCAGTTCACACTGTGCGTGCAGTCCAGTCCATTTTGTGTTACTCATTACTGTCTGTTGTAGTGTAATCATTGTTACATGTGTTTCTAACCAGCCACTCTCTCGCTACGCATCCCCAAGAGATGCCCTTTAATCTGCTGCCTTTTCACTGCTGGGATTATGCTGTCAGGCGCTTGCCCTTTCCTCTCTATTGATTTACGCCGTTAAGAGGAACGAATAAATTACAGACGGGAGAGTCTGCGGAATGCAATGCTAGAGAGAATCAGTGTCTCTGGTGACGAAAAGCCATATGGAAGGCTCAAAATTCAATTTGATTTGCCAAATTCTGGACTTTCTGAATTAATAAATTAATAATAATAATAATAATCCTTGCATTTGATGTAGCACCTGATCATGTCTTTGAGAAGTCTAAAGTGCTTCACAGAATAAATATACTGTAAAGTGAACTGATTGGATATTTTTTGGGTAAAACCTGGTGGCCAATTGTGCACAGCAGTGTCCCACAGACAGTCGTGGATTGAGTGACCAAATTTTTTTATATAAGGGATTATTATCCCCGGAAAAGCGATCCGCCAATCGACTAACAACCCGGTTCCTATCTACTGCTGGGTAAACAGAGGCGTGTGGAGTAAGGAAAATTGCCCAACGGTTTGCCCTGCTCAGGAATCGAGCCCGGGTCCTCTCGCTTGCGAATATCCTATAAAGTGGATTGACTGTGTATTTTTGTGGGCGAATCCCAGGAGGAATTTCTCCCCAAAATATAACGTCTTCGGTGCATCCTTGGCTTTTGCATTCAGATTGGAACATGTATGAATTATTGCAGAGGTATTATTGGAGCGTTATATTCGCTTTCAGTTCAGTTTGGAGGTGGGAGATAATACGCAATTCACAATAAAGATAAATATCACACCCTCCAAAAAAAACATGCATTGCACCAAACTGAATGGTTTGGAGTATTGGTGAGAACTCTGAATGCCTTTGAGTGAGTGATGTCTTCAGTGATTGCTGTTAGTAAGCAATAAACCAGCGATTACTGCCCGTTGAGGTAGAAAAAGCAGCAAGTGAACGAGCGAAACAGAGGAAGAATGTTTCCCATTTGGAAGAGTACTTTCCTCCTCACTCTTAATGATACACATATTGACCTTAGATTTTGGGGACCAATATTTGTTAAATGATTCACTGCTGAAAAAATAACCTCCTGTGTCTGAGCGTTACAAAACTCCCCTTTGGCATGGAATCAAGTCCTCCGCTGGGTATATTTTGTTTAATGTATAAATATACATGACTGAGAGAGCATTCAGTGGAATGCAAAGCATCTTACTCTGAGGAATTTCAAGTTGTTGTATATTCCCCCCGCGCAGTTGAAGATACAAACGCTTATTTTTTTATTTTTTTTAGAAAAGAGAGAGAGAGAGAGAAAGGCTAAACCACGATTATTTTCATTCCTTTCAGGATGCCAGGCAGAGCGATTTTCAGTTCATGGAGCCGACCAACTGTGTCACGTCATTAGCGGGGCAGTGTGCGTTCAGGATCCCTTACCTGATCAGGCAGAAAATCTGCAGCAGTCTAGACGTCCCCAATTCCAGGGGCAGTGACTGGAGGATGCTGGCGTACAAACTCAAACTGGAGCGGTGAGTGATGGGCCATTTCTGCAGAGCTGCGCTTGAACCCCCGTGGGAGTAGATCAGCAACAACAACTTGCATTTATGTAGCGCCCTTCGAGTTGGGGTAACGTCCCAGAGCGCTTGAATTCGCGAGATGTGATCCTCGCGTCCGATACAGTGCCTTGTTGCGTCGTCGAGACGTCTCGAAGAGCTCCACACTGTAAAGCGTAGTGACAGGAACATCAACAGCAAGTTACATTTACACGGCGCCTTTCACGTCGGGAGGACGTCCCAAGGTGCTGGACAGTTTGGAATTTGGACCTGAGCTGGGGGTAGGGATCAGGAGGGGTGGAGGGCAGGGAGGTTATCGGTAAGAGGGTGATCGAAGACCTGGTCGAAGAGGAGGGATTTGAGCCGGAACTTTCAAGGAGGCAACGGAGAGGGCGAGGTGATGGGATTGTGGGATGAATTTCCAAAGATGATGGTGTATTTACAGGAGAATGCGACAGCAAACGTCACAGTGTGAGTGCAGTTATTAACAAAGATATTGTCTGTCACACTTGTTACTACAGTAGTTATAATATCTTACCAAACAACATCGCAGTTCTTTTTTATAATAATAATAATACTTACATTTGATATACCGCCTTCTCATGTTGTTGAGACGTCTCAAAGTCCTTCATAGGATATATTGTAATGTGGATTGACTGTATTTTGTGGGCGAAACGTGGCAGCCAATTGTGCACAGCAGTGTCCCACAAACAGTCGTGGATTGAGTGATCCAATGTATTTTTTTGTTACACACCGCACGATGTGAAACAATTACCGAGACCCTTCAAATCAGCACTGGCCACCATCATCAAGCGCTACCCTGTGTGAAGGACACAAAGGCAGGTTGTTGTTGTTGTTGTTGTTGGTGTTGCCATTTGGACATCCGCTCTGCTTTAAAACTCAGCAAATTCCACAGAGCGTGCACCGACGATTCACATTACACTTCCCTCGGAGGGAATAGCCCTGGCCAACGCTAACATATTTTGTGTCTGACAGGAGCGATAAAAAGCAATTACCACTGCCTTGTACCAGATCACAAGAGAGGCTAGGACGTAGTCAGCCAATTGGCTCATTCAATTTCAAACTTCCCCCAGTACAAACCCTCGTGCTTTCCCATTACAGCGTCAAGCTGTTCCTCAATTTATTCCAGGGCCCTATTGTCAATCACCCTTCTGGGGTAGGCTCTATTTCAGCTCCTGATTGCCCTCTATATAAACCAATCCTTTCTGTTGCCCTTCCAAGCTCCTTCACAACTTTGAACTTGTCCTGCCTGCTCTGTGGGGTCCTGTAGTGTAGTGGTTAGTGCGCTCACCTCACAAGTGAGAGGACCCAGTTTCGACTTCCAGGCGGGGCAAAATCTTAGACAACTTTCCTTACTCCACACGCCTCCGTTTACCCAGCAGTAAATGGGAATCTGGTTGTTAGTCGATTGGCAGATTGGTTTCTGGGAGTAATAATCCCATCCAAAAAAAAATATTTGGTCTCTCAATCCCCGATTGGGACACTGCTGTGCGCAATTGGCTGCCGCGTTTCGCCCACAAAATATACAGTCAATTTACTTTACAGTTTATTCTGTGAAGCGCTTTGAGACGTCTCAATGGTGTGATAAGGTGCTTTATCAAATACAATGATTATTATTATTAATGATAAAGCTCTGACTTGTCCACGGGTTCTGCACAGCTCATCATTGAGCCTATCATTGAGTACCAAACGCACCGCGTTAAGTTGTAATTTTGACTTACTGTTACAATAACTCATGGCTATAATTTTATGCATATTTAAATCCCTCAGCATCATTTCTTGATTCTTTCCACCACCCCCCACCCTCCCCCATCTCCAGAGGCTAATTTCTCATCAGGCTTCCCTGTGTGACTTGCGTGGGGCTAACATGCGAGTTGTGTTAATTGAGGCTTGTGAGGAACGGGCACTGTGTCAAAGACTTTCTCCAGAAAACTGGAGGTGCATCAATCTTACTTACTTGTCTGTGACGCTCAGATCAAGGTTGGGGATAATGTGGGGTTGTCAGGGAACCCATTGCCTGTGTTAGAGGTTGTTCTGTTGCTTTGAAACCCAGCGATATGATATGATGTTCAATCTGAAAAAAAAATACAATGCAACAAGACTGCGGTTAGATTTTCATTGTTGTTGCTTTTTGATGCGTGACTCGGGAATCGTCCGAAGCATTTCACTCTCACTGTTACCAATTGTTTGGGCCCACACGACATAACAGCTTCCAAAACAACATCTTTTCACAACAAGAAATGTAAAAAACCTTAAGAAATTGAGCTTTGACATAACCAGTCACAACATTACAGTCAAAGACCTCCCTTGCCTCATTCAAGGCCATCGTCTTCGACCGAACCTTCGGTCACCCTACTCTTACCCACCCTGTGCTCCACCCTTCCTGATCCCAACCCCACGCTCGAGTCCAAATCGCTGACTTTCCAGCACCTTGGAACGTCCTCCTGACATGAAAGGCACTGTATAAATGTACTTTGTTGCTGCTGTTGTATATCTCTGGCACACTATATCCTCCCACATCACATCAAGGCAGATGTAATTTACTTACACGCTCCACCTCAACTCACTTTTCGGGGATGATAATCTCTTAAAATATAATAAGAAGAAGAATTTGGTCACTCGCTTCACGACTGTTCTTGGGGCACTGCTATGTGCTGCGTAAAGCTCCTTAAGACTTTCTCCAACACTATAAGTGGTTGGTGTTAATCTATTGGATGGTGGAAGATAATTAAGATACATTTAGGCAATCAGAAAAATCAGAGGAAGATGAAGCAGGCTTATTGGTTCCATTTCAGATCAAAACTATACTTCAGAAACCTGCCTTGCTATAAGAGACCTAACTTGCTCCTTGTTTACAATTTCACAGGTATCTGAATTATTTTGCGTCTAAAGCCAGTCCTACCTCGGTCATTCTCGACTTGTGGGAAGCTCAGCATTTTCACCATGGCAACTTGAACCATCTAGCCACCATCATGGCCGAAATGGGCAAGCAAGAGCCAATGATCTTCATGGTGTCGGAGGCAGAGTGCTGAGGTAGATATTTACGTAACCAAAAACAACAACAACAAAATTACATTTATAGAGCGCCTTTCACGTCCCAAGGCACTGGACAGTCAGGGGTCAGGACCCGAGCATGAGGGAGGGGAGGGGTGGGGGTGAGGGAAGGCAGAGAGGTGGGAGGGCGACTGAAGGCACGATCGAAAAGAAGGGTCTTGAGACCGGCCTTGAAGGAGGCAAGGGAGGAAGCGAGGCGAAGGGACTGTGGGATGGAGTTCCAGAGTGTGGGAGCAGAGAGGCTGAAAGCCCGGCAATGCTGAATAGTCAATGTGAAGGGAAGTCCTGTAGTGGTTAGCGCGCTCGCCTCGCAAGTGAAAGGACCCAGGTTCAGTTCCCGGGCAGGGCGAAACCTTTGACAAGTTTCCTTACCCCACATGCCTCTGTTTACCGAGCGGTAAGTAGGAACCCGGTTGTTAGTCGATTGGCGGATCGCTGTCAGGATCGCTTTTCACAAAGACAGAATGTGTTTGCGAAGCAAGTTTGTTGAAGCAATCCAACGCACAAGCATTTCCATTTATCTCGCGATAATCAGGTCGGGAGAACGTCTCAGAGTGCTTCACGGGATTCACTGTGAAGTGTAGTGACTGCCAATGAATGACAGCAAGTGAACAACAACAGCCTGCATTTACGCAGCGTCGTTCACATCAGGAGGACGTCTCAAAGCGCTTCACGGGGCTGACTGGGATCTGGACGGCTTTGGGATTTGGACAACTTGTTAAAATTCCAGGGGACTCTCAATCAGGCACTCACCAGGAGCAAGTTATTTCTCTGCGACTTGCTGTTGAAAGTTAGGATAATTGGATCTCTCTCTCTCTCTCACTCTCTCTGTTTGTTTTAATCGATTTCTAGGCACAGGGTTCATTGTTTCTCTTTATCCTATTGTTGGCAAAATAGTGGCATTGGCATGATGTTGGAGCTTTCCCACACAATCATTCACAAGTGATTATCGTAGACAAAATCCAGATCCAGTCGAATTGGCTGCAATTTCAAGGCCACAAAATCCATGTGTTGTTAAGCATTTCCATGTGGAATTTGTCCTTCGTTTTGTGTCAAAACACACAAAGCACATGGACCAGATGAAATACAATTTGAGATCAAATAGGAGAGACAATAGGCAAGAGCTCTTATAGTAATTTTTTTCAGTAAGCTGAATCATATTGTTCAGAAAGCGAACGAGACCTTGAGTGTTTTCAACACAACCAGAGCGTGTGTTACGTGATGCCCAGTCACTACGCTTTGCAAGCAAATCCTGGGAAACATTTTGAGATGTCTTTGTGATACGTCGCTGTGCCAAAATGTGAGGATTACTATTGCTATTATTTAATTACTATTAATAATAAACCTTGCAAACCTTATCACCTCATTGAGTCGTTCTCAAAGCGCTTCACAGAATATACTTTAAAGTGGATTCCTCGTCCATTTTGCAAGGAATAATTTATAATTTGCTATTATTATGATTACTTTCGCTCAGTATTTCACACTTTTTTCTTCCAATTGCAGTCTTAAGCAAAAATAATAAACAAAATGCAATTCTTGAAGAGGCAAAAGAGTGGTAGGTAAGTGACCGACTGGTGAAGTGAGAAGGGAATTGGATGCAGAAGGTGGTCTGACCCGTTCACATCAGCGAGCCAACACAAACACCCACCACCCAAAAAAAAGTCTCCAAAGCAGGACCTTGACAAGTTAACATCCGAACATTGGACTTTTTTTTTTGCTCCACTTGTTGAAAAAAGACGTTTAAACACTTCCCACTTGCTACAACAGGAATTAATATACACACGGCAGCTCACGCCAACAGCAACGCTTCATGTATGACGTCCGTCACTTGCATATTTTCGCTCGAAAGAGACGTTGGGAATCCATGTTTTGTAGCGTGTTCTGGTAGTTTAACCTTACAAAGTGTTTTAAAGAGATTCTGTCAAATGGTGTGCAATTCTTTTCCAATCTCCTTGCTTCTTCCTGTCATGTGCTGTATAATGCTGTAAAAAAAACTATTGCTATGAAGAGGTGACATGGCATTTATTTAGCGTAACTCCTTATTCGCAGCACTTTGCCTTTGAGGACTGACTCTTGTGTTCAAAGATGTTTGTGAGATATGTTGACATTGTATCAGTAGTGCCCTTCATCACCTCCTAGAGATGCCTCTTTAATTTAACCCTCCCATGACTGAATTGACATCTCAGCCACGCACGATCAAAAGAAAAGCAAGACAGCGCAAATTTCTGTCCTCCAATTTTATTTTCAAAAGCAAAAACAGCCGAACATTTCCTCACCACGTCGAGATGTGTATACACGCCAAAATTTACCGCCGTTATCTTCTCCCCTGACCACCCCCCGCCCCACCCCGTTGAATGGCGTTTCTCTCCATTTATCGCCACCTTTTGCTCACCGTTTGCCCCGTCAGACCACCCACCTGACAAACAACACACTCACTCCTGTAGTTCGACTACAGTAAAAACTCGCACAAGTCTGATCTGTTCAAAAATTGTATAATCGCCCAAATCGTACATCTGTCCGAGTTCCGTTCAAGAGTTTACGTTCTATGCAAGTTTGACGTAATTCATACTTTGCAAGAAGCCACATTAAATGTGTATGGTCCCAACTGATATGACTTATGTGGGGGTTTACTGTATCAGATTTGTGAAGTCGCGGCGAATTTAACACAGGTCAGATGAAAAACTTTCAAAACCCATTTGTAAACTGAAAAGGAAGCTTAGAAATATTTTCAGTGATTGATTGCTGCAAACAGCTGAAAGTACAGTAAACAACAGTGGGATGTCTGCACCTGTTGAGTGTGGTCCATTGCAAAACCGTTTGATTTCAGCGTGTGTGCGCAAGCGTGTTATGGCAGAGCACGGAGCGGAGGTGAGAAGGTTTGGATGCACATAAAATGAGTAGCGGGTTAACCGAGATGAACCATACATAGGAACAGGAGTAGGTCATTCAGCTTCGAGCCTGTCCCGCTATTCTATTAGATCATGGCTGATCTGTGCCTCAAATCTATTTACCCGCCTTTGCCCCTTATCACCCTGACCTAACAAACATCAGTCTTCAAAACTTGAAAGGATGCAGCATCCACAACCTTTTGGGTTGTTGGCAGTGTGTTGATTGTACAATCAAAGTGTAACAGCCCCCACCCCACCTCCTCCTCCGATAGATAATTAATTCCAAGCGCTAAAGTTGCTATCGAAAATCCCTCCCCCCCATCAAACATAATCAGTATTCTTGCTTACTTTGTGCTAGCCGTCAAGAGTTGGCTTATAATTCCATAGGTCTATCCTGTGCATAGCATATTCTGGTACAGATTCTTTTTTAAAGGGCACAATGTTATTTAAGATGTTCCACCGCTAACACAAACAATCCACTTGCCATCAACAAGTTATCAAAAGTATAACAGGCGTAATTGTTATTGTGAAACTTATCTTGCATTTTCGAATCTGACACTAACTAATTAAGGTACTTTGAATTAATTTGGAATACAGCAGTTTAATAGATGTATTTTGAAAAGTAATTCTGAAGTGCTTTTGAAATTATATTGGCCTTATGTATATATATATTATACATTAACTTTATGTAATTTAACCTAAAATGCAAGTAAAATGAAGTATATATATATATTGTTAAACTTGTTCATTTGCTCTTTTCTGCATTTTGTATATTGATTAAATATCGCAGCGAAAGCCTTGGTTATTCTTTCTCAGAATAATTACTGACAAGAGGACAAATCTCTTTGGAAAGTACTGTGAACGGTTGCTAACTTGATAAGTTCAACTGCACCCACACCTACTTTCGAGAGCTCCACCTCGCCCCCCTCCCCACTAACTACCCCCCACCTTATTCAAAGTCCCCCCGACCTGAAAAGCGCTATATCAAATGCAAGGATTATTATTATTATTAAAGTCCATCTCAAGACTTAACTAACGGGAGGGAAATCAGAGTGAAAATGTGAAAGCTGATTCATACGAACAGCAGCTCATCAAAACACATGCTTGTTCTGCAACTCAATGCTTCTCAAAGCTTCAAACAAATGTAAGAGAAGTAAAAGCTTACCCAGACCATATGCTTGGAAGATTGGAATCCGAGTCAGGATAAACCCCCAATCGCTGTGGTTGTGTGTGTATCATTGTGCCAGGGTCTGACCCCCTCACCCCCCATCCCTCCTCGCTCCTTCCCTAATGCACCCACAAACTGCTTCAGCACTGTACATCACAAGTGCTGTTTGTCTTAAAGTGGTTTGTCTGTGGTCACCCAGACCCAAAAATGCATCCTTGCATATTGCAACCAAAGGCGCTCATCAAAGCAGATTCAGACTAAAATATTCAATATTAAAAATGGGCGTAATTAGTCTCGAGAACCTCATTTAATAATAATCGTTGCATTTGATACAGCGCCTTATTACGTTGTTGAGGCACTTCAAAGCGCTTCACACACTAAAGTGTAGTGACTGTATATTTTGTGGGAAAAAACATGGCAGCCAGTTGTGCACAGCAGTGTCCTGCAAACAGTGGTGGGTTAAGTGACCAAATTTTGTTTTTGAGTGGGCGGAGGGATTATTACCCCCAGAAAGTGATCCACCGATCTACTAACAGCCAGTTTCCTGCTAACTGCTCGGTAAACAGAGGAGTGTGGAGTAAGGAAACTTGCCTAAGGTTTCGCCCTTTTAATATCAAAGAAATTATTGAACAGTGAAAACTCATGTATACATTTCTCAAAAAAAACACGCGATCTGAATCTCTTGACAATATATTCTGTGAAGCTCTTTGAGATGTCTGGAAGGCGTGAAAAAGCACTATATCAAATGCAAGGATCATTAGTATTTATTTTATTATAATTACAGCAGTGTTGGTTGGAAATTCTATCGCTGTCCTGGCTGACAACCACCACAAATTTAATCACTCATTCACTTCAAGGCTGATTTCGGGACATCACTATTGTGCAAAATGGACGCCACACTCCCCTACAGAATAAACAAGTCACTGAACTTCGCAGCGAAATCCCGATGCGATGCACTTTGAGACGTGCTCCCGACTTGTCGAAGGCAATGATTGCCGTTGAAGGTGAATCTCAAACGTTTAAAAAACGAACAGGAGGAACGAGTCTGGAAGTTCAGACTTTCCGAAACAGAAGAGGCTTCGGAATAAAAGACAAGAGAAGGTGAAACTTTAAATGGTTTAATTTTAAGAAGGTGTCTTCTGGAAACAGAACACGTGTACAAAACATCAAAAACAGGCTGAGAGCAGTTCACAGCGGAAATCTCCGCTTGCTGTGATATCAAATGCTCTCTGTTTTGGCATCGTACAAAAGTTATCTTAAAAAAAGAATATAGAAAGTGACTCAAAGCTTTTTTTTGTTAGCGTAAATTCAAGTAACAAAACAAGTAAATAAAGCAACCATGGTAACAGCAAGGAGACTCGAAAATTCATACCGGTGAGAAATGCAATAAATAAAGAACGGTTTACAATGACAGAAGTGAGATCATGCAGTGCCAAATTTCTTTCTTTACTGCACACATTTTCCTCTTCCATTCCACTTGCACATGAAAGCAATTGTTCATCGGAAACATCTAATAATAATATAATAATCCTTGCATTTGATATAGCGTCTTATCTCGTCGTTGAGACATCTCAAAGCACTTCGCAGAATATATTGTGACGTGGAATGACTTGTGTATTTTATGGACGAAACGCGGAAGCCAATTGCTCACAGCAGTGTCCCACAAACCGTTGTTGATGAAGTGACCCTATTTTTTTGGGAGGGATTGTTAGCCCTGGAAAGCGATCTGCCAATCAACTAACAACCAGGGTCTTACTTACTGCTGGGTAAGCAGAAGCGTGTGGAGTAAGGAAACTTGCGTAAGGTTTCGCCCCGCCCTGGGAATCATAGTCGTTAGGCTCATGCTCTTAACATCTACGCTACAGGACTCCATGCTCAACACGTTTCGCTACCATTTAACACACCCACTCAAAAGCTGGCGGGGGGTGGATGGGGGTGGGGGACATGTGCTAGAGCTGTACAAAGTGGCGAGGGTGACGATAGTAATAACTCAAGACGACTCCACAGGGTTAACCGGATTCGCTACACTTTACAGTAAATCCTGCGAAACGCTTCAAGACACTTGTTCTGACGACGTGATCATTTTCACCCCTTGATCTGCTGCTGCCAACAGTCAAGGGGCTTTTAACATGAAGCTCACGTTAGAGTGGATGGATTTTATGATCACGGACCAATAAAGTAACAAACATTTCTGTGGGCACGAAAGGAAGTAAATGCCAATGTCCACTTTTTTAATATATATACACTTATATATATAAAAAAAATATCGCTCCTGCGATTTCCTTGCAAACAGCTACATCATCTGAGGCAACAGGAAAGAATACTGGGTTACTGACTTGAAATGAAAATGCTGGAGGAAATCAGAGCTGAAATAAACTGCGGTCGTTGTGAATAAGATGGTGGCAATTCTCATATTCGTCTTGAATCCTGCTAACGCTGTGGAGTCATCGGAGATACTTTTATCGCCACCCTCATTTCCTATTTGTTTGTGATAAGAAAGGCCAGGGAACCAAAGGGGAAGGGAGAGAGAGAGAGCGAGAGGGAGAAAGTATAAAAGAACTGAATAATTTTGCTTTCATTCATGGTCAGTTACACGTTCAGACGAAAAGGCACCAATATATGCAGCGTGATGGGCGCTTTCCTTTAAGAAATGGCCTCTTCTAAACTTCGATGGCCGAGTCTTTGAAGCATTTCACACCATTTTGTGTCGTTTTTTCTTTTTTTTTTCTTTTGCTTGTTTACACGGAGAGTTTCAATCCCTCCAGGGCTGCTGTGAAATTCCCTGCTTCCTTACGGTGAGGGAGTTTTTCCCCTTCGCTCGGACGCTCTCCGGTTTACCCTCGCGGCAGACAAAAGGACTAGACGGGTGAAAATGCATGGGTCTTGCATAATGGCTTCTCTTTCTTGGAATAAAACGTCTTGCCTTCCAGGTTTATGTGACATACCTGAGGAGCGGGAAGAGATTAAAACACAACAAGCCCGTTAGCTTATTCTGATCTGTTACCAGTTTTCAACAACAAGTGGCATTTGTATGGAGTTTTTCACGTCCGGAGGACGTCCCAAGGCACTATGCAGTCAAGTGTTTGCATCCGAGGTGGAGGTTGAGATCAGGAGGGGTGAAGGGTAGGGAGGGCGGGGTTAGGAGGTTGACTGATGGCGTGGTCGAACACGAGGGTCTTGAGACGGGTGTTGAATGAGGCTAGAGAGGGGGCAAGGTGAAGAGACTGGGATGAAGTTCCAAAGGGCGGGGGCAGAAAGGCTGAAGGCCCGATCACTGGTGGGGGTGGGGGGGGGGGTAAGACGTGGAGCAGGCCAGGAATCCTCTGATTGCAACCAATTTTGTAAGATCCCATGTCAGTTTCCACATTTATGGAATGATAGAAATCTACAGAGCAGAAGGAGGCCATTCGGCCCATCGAGTCCACACTGACTCTCAAAAGCAAGCTGTCCACTCAATCGCACTGCATATAAGAATAAAACATAAGAATTGCTGGACGAAAGAAGTTTGCCTTCCACCATCCTGGCAGTCACAAGCTCATGTCATGCCCCAAGTATATACTACATCCCGAAAGATTATTTCTTAAAAGAAATCCAATTTGCTTTTGAAAGACCTCGCCTTAACTCCCTCGCCCCTTCATGCCTCTACACAATACAAAATTACATTTGGATAGCACCTTTCACGTGAGGAGAACGTCCCAAGGCGCTGGACAGTCAGGGATTTGGACCCTTCTACTTCCCGCTATAAGCTCGCGTACTCTGCCTCGACCACCTGAAAATTCCCAAAAGGCATTTTGTCGTCCCTTTAAATATTGCAGGAGTTTTTTTTTACATCTCTAACACATGTCACCACCCACCCCTCAATAAAATGGTACTTCTCCCAGGGGTCTGATACGTCAACATTGCTGACTTTTACCACGTTTTATGATGTTCTATTGATCTACAATCAGTGTGCCAGGCGCGGATTTAATCTAGAAGTGAGACATTGTATACCCTTGAGTGTTCTTCACAGCCACACAGTAAACAGTGAGAAAACATTGTTCCACAAACTGATTTCGACACCGGGGATGGGATTTCGGCAACTTGCAATCACCTATAAGTGGACACTGCTGTATGTATCTCTCTGACTCTCTCTCTCTCTCTCTCTCTCACTCCCAAGCCTTCCCGGACAACAGAGGTGATGGGGAGGTTGCAACATGAAGTAATGAAGGGGAGGGAGAAAGTGAAGCAGTGAAAGAAGAGGGAGCAAAGAAGGAAACTCAATGAGAGAGAGAGAGAGAGAAAGGAGAGAGAGAGGTGAAGTGAAGATACTGCATTGAGAGGTCAATAAGGCAGCAGCACAACAACAACAACTTGCATTTATATAGCGCCCTTTCACGCAGGGTGGTGTCTCGGAGCGCTCAACACCGGGTACACGAACATTTCCAAATGTAATGGGGAGCCGCTCATCTCACTTAATGACAGAGTGATCCCAACATGTTCAGAAGAGAAACTAGTATCATTTATTCCATGATTTGGCAAGGAGTTAACCACCGCAGAGGCTATGCCACAAGCAGGGAATAAAGATGGACTGGGTTTGTATCAGAAATCAAACAATAAAAACTCACCCAACACAACTGTAACATCATTAACTCGGGTAAAACTCAATGAGTATACACATCCAGTTTCTTATATATATATATAGTTTCCTATACACACATATATATTATCTATAGTTTCACCCACAAAATATACAGTCAATTCACTTTAGAGTATTTTCTGTGAAGCGCTTTGAGACTTCTCAACAATGTGATAAGGCGCTATATCCAATGCAAGGATTATTATTATTATTAATATAGCAGTTATTGCTTCAAAGTCATAATCCGTCTGTAAATAATACTCCTCACATTGGAAACTATAACATCAAAACGCCTTCACAGGGAACTGCAGATGACAGTGTAGTGACTGTGTATTTGTAGGCAAGCATATAGTTCTGTGCCAACATTGCCAAGTGATTTTAATTGGACTTGTGAGGAAATGATGTTCCATTCTTGTATGCTGTGGGTTTTAAACACACTGGAACCCATTCAGCTAAAGACCAGCATTCTGGTGCTGTTAATCCTAAAGATAATATCTTTAATACACTTTCTGAGCTAGGCGAAGGGGTGATGCTCTTCAATCAAGTCAGCTTGAAATTGTTTCCAAACTGCTATAACCAGCCGTGCACTTGGCATTTATTACCTGTAACAGCCAGGGCTGTCTCTGATCTCTGATACAGTGTGAGAGAGAGAGAGAGGGGAAGAAAGTGAGAGAGAGAGAGGAAGAGAGAGAGTTTGTACTTACCGCGCAGATAAAGCAGGTGTCATGCCAACTGTAGCCTAGAGCTTCGAGGAATCGATCACCTGCGTCTATCTTGAAGTCGCAGCCTTGGCACTTGGTGCCAAACATTTTCTCATAGTCTGTCCACGGAGAGAAAAAAAAGAGGAAAGGCAAGCGTAAAGTTTCTATTTACTTCCACAGTGCAGAGCATCACTGAATTACTGGCAAGTGACCAAAACGTTTTCACAATAGTTTTATCAGTTATTTCACATAGTCTTTCCCCTCACACCCCCCCAACCCCTTCAAAATTACTTCCCAATTCCAAATGCATCAAGAGATGTCGACAATAACAGATAAAGGTTACATTTAAGAAAAATGTAGTCAATTAGCTGCCCCATTTTACCCACAAATTACACTGTGAATCCACTTTACAGTAGGTTCTGTGAAGCGCTTTACGACGTCTCAACGACATGATAATCAACGATGGTTTATCAAATGCAAGGATTCGTCTTAATAATAATCCTTGGATTTGGAATAGCGCCTTATCACGTTTTCAAGACATTTCAAAGCGCTTCACAGAATATACTATAATGTGAATTGACTGTATATTTTGCCAGTTCTTTGGGGGCCAAATTACCATCAAAATAACTTCTTCCAAAACCTCTCTGGCTTATACAGCGATGAGACCCTCATCAACATTCTTCCCCTGAATCTACATGGATTTGCTATTCCTCTAATCAGCACTTTAACGGTCTTGTAAGAGCAAGCAAATTATTCACTCATTAACATCAGCAACCCAACCTTACAAGTAAAACATTTGATAAACATTCTGCCACCTATTCAAGTTGTATAATAATAACCCTTGCATTTGATACAGCGCCTTTAACATGTCTCAAAGCACTTCACAGGATTCAAACTGAAATGGAGTGACTGTGTGATTAGTGGGCGAACAGAGCAGCTAATTTGTGCACAGCGATGTCCCGCAAACAGCTGTGAAGTTGAACTGATTTTTTTTATCGCCGGGAGTGGTGGGGGGAATATGTGGGCCAGGATTACTAATGTGGAGACTACACCTTTCAGCCAAATAACATCATCAAATGTGATTACTTTAACAATTTTGAGCCCTGGCCAATGGATTAGACGTTCATTTCGAACAATCAACGGGTAAAACATAAGCACCAGGATAAATTTTACTTGGTGTTGAAATGACGTCCCTCTCAGAATGAAGTAGGGAGCCTCAGACTTGTCATTCATTTAAACCCTGACAACTCAGCAAGCGGGAGAACCCTGGTTCGATTCCTAGGCGGAGCGAAACCTTAGACAAGTTTCCTTACTACACACACCGCTGTTTACCTGGCAGTAAGTAGGAACTCGGCTGTTAGTCAATTGGTGGATAGCTTTCCGATAATCATCCCTCCTCAAAATCAATAAACAGCAATAATTTGGTCACTCAATCCACGACTGTTTGCGAGAACGCTACTGTGCGCAATTGGCTGCCGCATTTCGTCTACAAAATACACAGTCACTCCGCTTTACAGTATATTCTGCGAAGCGCTTTGAGAACGACTCAATGAGGTGATGAGGCGCTGTATCAGATGCGAGGATTATTATTAAACCATCAGCAATTCTCAAACCAGGAATCCCGATTACCTTTCTCACAGTAAGGCTGACCCTCCTCCATGTAAAAGGCCTTATTGCGGATCGGGGTTTTACACGCTGCACAGTTAAAGCACTTAACATGCCATGTCATCTTCAGGGCGTGCATTATTTCCTTCAGAGAGAGAAAGAAAAACATCACAAGTTACCTTTGATCTAACAACAACAACCTGTAGTTACACGGCGCCCTTCACCCAGGGTAGCGCCTCGGAGCGCTCAACAGCAGGCAAGAGCCCGGTGCCGAGCCACGGGGGTACGAGGAGGTGACCGTGACCCGTCGTGGAAGAGGAAGGTCTTCGGGCGTGATCTGAAAATGGGGAAGGAGGTCGCAAGGTGGAGGAATCCAGGGAGAGAGTTCCAAAGACGCGGGGAGCAGTGACTGAAAGCGCGGCTGCCAATGGTGGAGGGACAAGCAGTGTGACCCGCAGTGACCACGTGCGTTTTCTGGTGGAGCGCGGCGGGTGAGTTAAGTGCGGTGATGGGTTTCCTTTCACCGAGTGTTGGAGGCAGGGACCCGGGCCGAGCCCAAACCCCCGTATGACTCACGCCCACTATCTTTTGCTTGCACTTGGCACAGTTGGGGGCGTGCTTGCTCTCGTAGCAGTTTCCGCAGAACACGGAGCCCATTTCCTCGAAGAATCCTCCCTCGGTCAGCGTGGCTTTGCACTGATGGCAGGTAAACTCCTCCGGGTGCCAGGACCGACCCAGAGCCACCAGGTAACGGCCCCTAGAACACACAGATGATTGGAGTTTGCGAGTTTCCTCCTGTGTTAACTTACAGAAATCATAGAATCTTACAGCACAGAAAGGAGGCCATTCACAGAAGGATTTGTTGAAGATCATCTTTAAGAGGGTGGGGGAGGATGGGGTCAGCCTAGTGTCTTTACACGTGCGGAAACCCATCACCATGCTTGTGAATCTCCAAACCAAACTGAGAATTCCATGCATCTGATCTACACGTGGAAATTCCAGAGAAACACACAGACACACACAGTCACACACAGCGACACACACACACACAGCCACACACACACACAGCCACACACACACACAGCCACACACACACACATAGTCACACACACAGCCACACACACAGCCGTACACACTCCTCTCCCATTCCCGCTGTCTCCATCAATGTTTACCGAGACGAAGAGGGGCAGCAACAGGGAGTGGGTTAACCTTCTGCAATTACGGACAAAGAGCAATGAAGCCGAGAAAGAACAGATTTAAACATTTTAAAAAGACGGATCGGCACTTGGTGAAGGACAGATTGGCACCGCACGCTGGTAGCAAATCACCGTACAATTTCTGTGTATTGGGCACATAAAACAGGCCGACGCTCGGGCTGGTAATTGCTACCCCAGGGTAAGTACTGACTCTAATGCCCTCCAAAATGATGCCGGAGCGTTATTAAAATGCACTGACTGAGACTGCCGACGGTTTAAAGTGTTATATAATGAGTCACTAAATACATCAAAGTGCACTACCAGCTTCCAGCGCGCTGCGAGTGGGCTTCAGGAGCAGAGTGCACAATCGTCCACAGTCATTTCTCAGGCTGCAGATACCCCAGCCCTTACACGCTCTGTCACACTCACACCCTGACACACACTCGTGCCTTTGCACGCTCTCATCACACTCATATTCGCATCACTCCCCGCTCTACCCATTCAGGTCAAAATCCTGTTGAGCAGTATACTTTTGACAGCTGTCCCCCCACCACACCTTCTCTCCCTCTCTCTCGCTCTCCCCCCCAGCCACCCCCCCACGCCCGCTTTGATAATTTTAACACGCTGACGACTTTAAGCAGACACAGCCACCAGCGCAATGACTTTGAAGGAATCGTTACAGAACATTTCACTGACGACTCGGGGAATAAAAAGGTTCCAACCAAAAGCTTTCGCACGCCTCTCTTGTTGTTGGCGAATTTCAGTGTGAAGCGCAAGTAATAAGCACTTTGATAGCTCCCTATGAGTTGTGTCTTTGATGGGATTTCTGCTTTGCTTTCGCAGCCGCTTTAGAATTCTGCACCACGGGACTGAAGTCGCTCTGAGATTTCAGAAACGCCTCAAAACGCCGTTTGTCAGGCCGCGAAACCCACTTAATTAAGCATCAAAGTCGCAGAGTCCCAGAAAACATCAAAAACACATCCTTTCTAACTGGAAGATACTTTTTCTGTCTCTCTAGTTGTGAACAGAGATGTCCTATATTTCACCCTGGTTTTAAATTAAATCCTTCAAACTTTTTAATTCAACTTTTCCACTCGATGACTTTACCCAGTTTCTAAACCGCTCTGTGATGTGATCGATAAGGGTAGCGTTTCCGCAGATTCGGAACAGATCAGCGGAAACACGACTACAGCGAGAGAGTAGTAAACGTATGGAACAGGCTCCACAGGGAGACAGCCGATGGAAGCAGAAAGTGTTGTGTCTTTCAAGCATAAATTAGATAGCAAATAATATCTCGGGCTACAGCATATAGTCTGGGACACGACATGTCAAACGATTGCCAGGATGGTGGAAGGCAATCCAAATGGACCTTGGTCTTTTCTCATCTAGCAAATCCTTATGTTCTTATGATATGGTGCCTTTCATGTCGGGAGGACGTCTCAAAGTGCTTCACAGGATACACTGTAAGGCGTAGTGACTGTGTAAGTCATAAGCGAACATGATCAATAATCTCACAGTTACTTAGCCAGCTTCTATCCCACCTAGCAATCCATATGTTCTTGAGGGAAAGCCAAGGAAAGGAAGAGAAGTGATGTGAGCGGTGAGCATTACTCACTTGATGACCTTGTTGCAGTGGGCACACACCGGGGTCCTGTTGACCCCTTCGGGGGCTTGCTGTGCGGCCTGGACGATGGAGCTGCGGTTTTGCTGTGGGGTGGGCTCGGCGGCCTGGGTGAACTTGGTCATCCGCGTGGTGGTCTTGTCCGGGGCGTACTTGTCAGCGAAGGAGGAGTCCACCACCCAGGGGGGTCTGCAGGTCGGGGGGGCTGGGACGGGCGCCGTTCTCGGGGGTGTCGAACCTGGAGCAAAACCAAATCGATCAGATCACAGCACCCAGCAACACCATAGCTTTTCCAATGAGTAAATAGGCACCGGTCTTTACAACAACAACTTGCATTTATATAGCGTCCTTCACAAGAGTCAATGGGTTTGACATAGGGATTTCTGTACCAAAAGCAATTAATTCTGTACGGATTATCCAAAGTTACCCGGTTCTTCCGAGCAAACTACACTTATGTCACGTGTCGTCTCAAATTACTCATGTACTGTATCTCCAAATATTATTTTCTAAAAAGAAATGTATCTTAATTTGCGTTCGATTGAATCGAATGACGCTTTCTACTACCACTGTCTCCCTTTCAATCGATTAAACAGGCACGCAGAGAGGTTTGTGTTTTCGAGAGTCACGGAGAGAAAAAGACTAGACTTAAAAGAGCTGACACAGACAAGATGAGCCGAATGTGCTGTAAATTTCTATGGACTTATTAATTGATTCATTTACTTAACATTTGACTCGAGATAAACCTTTTTTGAGTCGCTATTCATTTTAATAAACGGGTAGGGTAGTCCGAGTTGGACAAGCAGCGGGAAAGCTCGCCAGGCAGTGCTCTCAATGGTTGCGGTTTTAGTTGGTTAGGTTCCAGCAGTTACCCCCAACCAACTTGGGGTTCCCAAGCCTTGGCTCTCGCCAACCTCCACCTAATACTTTCTGGAATTAGAGAGTGTGCGAATTCTATTCCAACAATCTATCTCTGGGATTTCCATGTGTAGGTGGGATGCTTGGAATTCTCAGTTTGGTTTGGATACTCTTAAGCAACGGTGATGGGTTTCCGCATGTGTCAGACACCCGGCTAGTCAACAAAAAAGTAAATGATGTTTAACTTGGGAGATGACTAACGAGCAGAATAAACAATGCCCCAAGCTAGTTTGCACAACTGGTTATCAATGGCCGAGCCAGGAATATACTATAAGGTCACCTGGATTGTCACTGAACCTTGAAGCTGAGATTGGATGGGACGTCTCGGCTCCAGCTCCGGTCTCCGGGCTGGAAAGACAAGCGGGAACACACTCACACTGAGCACGGCACATCCCGGCATTACTTCAAACCAATGCGTGGACGGACACAGATGGCGGGTGAGGAGGGTGGGTGGTGGTTGGGGGTGTGTGGAATAAGACAGATACTGGTGCTGGGGCAAAGCATGAGTTAAGCAGTGCTGGTGGCTTTCCCTGGCAGGAGGGGGAGAGGGGGTTTCTTTGTGTAACTGTGTTCATCGCTAAACACATCGCTGGCATAGGACACTGACTCTATGACTACAGGCCATTCCCACTCCCACCCTCCCCCAGCGCAGGTCAAGACGGCTGAAAGCTCGCCCGCCCACGGTGGATCGGAACGGGCAGAGGATGTGAAGCGAGTCAAAACACAAGAGATTGGTACGGCAATTAATACCCCAGAGGATTTCGTTAAAATCTAAGTGGATCAGACAAACCCTGGGAAGAAGCCTCTTAATAATAATAATAAATCCTTGCATTTGATGTAACGCCTTACCACGTCATTGAGACGTCTCAAAGCGCTTCACTTCCTAGTGGCCACACACGGACGTCACAAACCCCAGGGGTAATGATTCTGTTCAACACCTTTAGCCTTGGTGGGCGCTAATGGAATTTCCTGCTAGTCACACATGGCGTAATGCTGACTAGGTGATTCACACTGTAATCTCCTGGATCCAGATCGATAGGAACAGTCAAGAAAGCCACGTCACAGTTGTCTGATATCGGTCGCTGGTTTGACATTTTCTCTGGGATTACAGTTTGGGGTCTTTTCAAGCCAGATCATCTCCTCTCTGATGGACACCCATCTCTGATCTCATGGTCTCTCATCAAATGCTGGTCCCACAAGTGGACCTTTCAGATGAACAGTTCGCAGTTGACTGCTCTGAGCTCAGGTTATAACAATAATTCTTGTATTTGATATAACGCCTTATCACATCTTCGAGATGCTTCACAGGATGTACCATAAAGTGAATTGACTGTATATTCGGGGGCGAATCCAGGTCCTCTCGCTTGCGAGCGAGTGCTCTAACCATCAGTTTGCATCAATTCACTGAGATCTGGCAGTGAGAATGCAGCCATCACGAAGCAAATGTAATGGACCTGAGACAGTACCCACAAACCATCCAGCAACAGAAGAATAATAAAGAAATAAGTCTCGTGTTTTGACAGAGCAGCCGATCACGTTGTCAAAACATCTCATCACTTCACAGGGATTTTATTCGGCACCAGCCAGAAACATCAAGCACTCTGAGACACCCTGCTGACGTGAAAGGCGCTGTGTGATTTGGATTCTAACAACTAAACAGCTCTCTTCAGGGAAGGGGTGAGGTCGAGGAAAGGCATTCAGTTTGATGAGGGAGCTTTGACCGAGGCTACCAACCCCCCCATAGATAATATTAATAATAATTCTTGCATTTGATATAGCGCTTATCACTTGGTTGAGACGTCTCAAAGCACTTCAGAGAATATACTGTAAAGTGAATCCAGTGTATAGTTTGCGGGCAAAACACGGCAGCCAATTGCGCACAGGAACGTCCCACAAACAGTCGTTGATTGAGTGATCAAATCATTATGCATTTATTTATTTATTTGAAGGGAGTATTACCCCCAGAACGCGATCCACCAATCGACTAACAACCAGGTTCCGACTTACTGCTAGGTAAACAGAGATGTGTGGAGTAAGGAAACTTGCCTCAGGTTTTGCCCCGCCCGGGAATCGAACCAATAGATAAACAGTGGATGAATGGAATAGGGTTGTCAGGAGGGATGGTTGAGGCCAGGACACTGGGAATTAATTTGATGCTGTGATGGGCGGATGAGATCGGATGGGCTGAAGGGCCTTATTCACATTGAACCATTTCTATGAAGGGAAGAGTTTAGCATGCAGCACGTGGCTCAAAGGTGAGAATTTTTACTTCCCCTGGCAACAGCAACATCAGTGCCAACATACACCAAACTGGGTTTGTGTACTATGACATTTATTCCAATTCTAGGAAAACAGCAACATCTGCTGGTCACTGGAGAAATCAACAGCTTCGCTTGAAAACCCTTCAACTTGCTCAGTCCTGTGTAATTTGTTATGTATGAGACTGGGGATAAAAAGTAACACAGGGATAATAATAATCCTTGCATTTGATATAGTGCCTTATCAAGTTGTTGAAATGTCTCAAAGGGCTTCACAGAATATACTCTCATTAATACACTTTTAATTGTAATTCCTGATTTGATCATCTGCAAACCTTAGTTCTCCCTCAAAGGGGCATTTGAAAGGGACTTAAGCTGCGCATGTGTGGAGGAAGGGATATATTCAAATACAATTTACATTTATGCAGTATCTTTTACTTCAGGAGGACGTCTCAAAGGACTTCACATTGTTGGCTGGGCACCTATAAGGTGGCAGGGGAAAGATGACCGAAAACGTGGTCAAAGAGGTATGCTTTGAGACGTGCCTTGAAAGAGGTGATGGAGGGAGCGAGTCGGAGGAACTCAGGGAGGGAGACTCAGAGGAAGGGAGAGAAGAGCGTGGATTGGGTTAGTATTGATGGATTGAGTCAAGTAAATGCCAAACGGAACCTGATAATCTGCGAGTCGCCCCAGTTAAACTCAAATGAGAACTCACATCTCCTGGGTCTTTCATCATCTTAACTCAAAAGTACATTTATTTCCAGTAACAGGAGTGACAGTGGGAAAGCTGCCACTTAGTGCTCTCCAGAGGGGAAATGGTATAAAGGTGGAAAGTATTCCGAGTTGTACATACACCGACAGATCAGGGATGGAGCTCAGGTTAGCAAGCAAAAATAAACATATTTCAAAAGGTTACAACCGTTGGAGCTCAGTGATGTGAGCTCAAATACACAGGAGCTCATTCCAGGAACTACATGCAACTAAACTTGGAATCATTGGGAATTTCGACTGCAAAGTCCCAGAACGAATCCCACTGTAACATCTGTTCCGTGTAGACAGGCCCCATTCTAGTGGCTGTGAAATGAGGAACACATGTGCAATGTGGAAAAGCCCAGGTAAACGTCTAAACTATTTTGCCTCCAGCAGCTGTTGCCAGATGTTGGCCATATTTCAAATGAATGTCAGAGGCGACGTACAAGATTCTGGTTATGGTCGAGGGAGGTCAGGAAGGAGATTTTGAAATATTTGTGGGTTCGGGGAATGCTGAATCGACTACAAACTGGGTTTAAGAATTTAATCTTGTTAACATGTCCAGCTGTGAAGCAATGGTAGAAGTGATGCAATTTGGAGGTAAAAAAGAATTAAATAATCCTTGCATTTGATGTAGCGCCTCACCGTGTTATCGAAACGCCTCAAAGTGCTTCACAGGATCCACCGCAAACTGCAGTGACTGTGTGTTCTGTAGCAGCAGCCAATTTTGCGCACCTCAACGTCCCCACAAAGAGAAGGACCCATTTTTATTTGGGGGATTGACAAGCAGGACAGTGACAGAGAGAGAGAGAAGGAGAGAGAGGAGAGAGAAAGAGACAGAGTGAAAAACTCTCTTCCCTTTTCCAACAGTGATCTTTATCGTCCACCTGAACAGGGCACAGACAAGGTTTAACGACTCAAACGAAGGATGACACTTCACCCTTGATCTCAAAGTCCCCGCTTTACTAACTAGGAAACCGGTGCAGATCTCTCGTGCTTAAATTCAAGTACTTTTATTAAAATATTTTCTCAAGTCCAGCCAGTATATATAAATTGTATACAGTACATCAACGCTATGTTACAAATACAAACACCTCCCAGTTCTCCACACCCATCGAGCTTGCTCGGTGTGTGAAGCTACAACCACAAAACCGTCTCATTTCAGAGGCAGAAGGATGTCATCCCACAACATGGGATGAAACACACACATGATTCCGTTCGAGTGAAAGGCTTCATGCTAAAGATTCAACCAGGAACAGTTACTGCACATAAGTCCACATCTCACAGTTACACCCAGAAGCGAACGATGCATTAAATTCAACCGGTAGCTCAAAAAATTTCAAACTCAACTCAAACCCATGCCCATTTATTCCATCAAGATTCCAGCTGACATGCCTTGCGCTACCTCAAAGCAAGTCTTAGCAAAAAGAAAACCCACACTGATTAACAGAAAATGACACAGATAATAATAATAATAATCCTTGCATTTGACATAGAGCCTCATCACGTCGTTGCGACGTCTCAAAGCGTTTCACAGAATATACTATAAAGTGTATTGACTGTGTGTTTTGGTGGACGAAATGCGGCAGCCAATTGCGCACAGCAGTGTCCCACAAACAGTCGTGGATTGAGTGACCAAATTATTTTTACCCCCGGAAAGCGATCCCCCAATCGACTAACAACCGGGTTCCTACTTACTGCTAGGTAAACAGAGGCGTGTGTGTGGAGTAAGGAAACTTATCCAACCAACCAGGTATAAAAATAGAGAGTTCAGTCAGGAATAATGATCGTAAATTTCTGTATTATTTGAAGCATTTAAAGCGGCTTCAATTAGATCCTATTATTACAGGGCACAGAAGCACACACATAGTATATATATATATATATATTTATCCGCAAGTTACAGAGAGAGTAAAGGGAAACTCAGAGTCAAAGAGCGTTCAGTACAGAAAATAAAACATTTCCAGATGTGACAGTGTTTTTGAGAGACAGCAGCGAAGGAGAGAGACAGAGAGAGAGAGAGAGAGCGATTTGAGATCAGTTCTTTATATTGAGAGTTTGGGCTGATCTGCCGTGATGCCAGTCACGTAACCTGGTGTAGCGAGGGCTTTGCATCTCGGTGATAAACCTTTCTCTGCGGAAGAGGAGAAAGGAAAACGGGAGAAAGAGAGAGTGAAAAAACAGAGACAGATTTTTAATTTTTTTTAAGAAAACAGTCGTCTCATTAATATGTCACGCCTGAGCTAACAGCAATTTGTATTTACACGGGGCCCCTCACACCATCAACAACAAATTACATTTGCATAAATTACATTTGTACAGTTCTGACAAAAGGTCATT